CAACAGATGATCCCAGGCCATAATATAATAAAATAAAATAAAAAATAAATAAAAATCTTTATCGATTCTATTTTTGTTTTTTGTTTTGCCTTGCATGGGAGAGTAAAAATGATACCCCCCCCCCCCCCCCGGTAGGACGGTTCTTACTTTAATCCTTCGATCATTATAAAGTTTTTATATCTAAATACATTGTATTAAGAAATAATTTCTATGTCGAAATAATTTTTGTTTAAAAATTTATAATTTCCTCTTTATATTGAGAGTATATTAGCATGGTAGTTCTGCTGGGGGACTCGGCATCCCTTAACCCGTTAAATTTACGGTGAATCACCGTTTCATTCAACTGATGAAATTTTCAATTTTCTTCCATTTTGATTTAAAAAGTTTGAAACCACTCAGAATGTGACCCCTTCCTCCAACTCACCACTTATGGGAGAGAGGAACGGTCATCAATGACGAGGGCCGAGCTGGGCGGTGAAGCCTAGCAGCCCTCGCCCGCTTCACGCTCAGAAGGGGCCACTCTGCCTCATCGTCGTGGTTTCTGGATCACACAGTTTTACCTGGTGTCCCGGCGATACATACTATAGAAATGATCCCTAAGAGTATGATCTTAAATTCCACGAAGTTCACTGTTCAGTTATATACTTAGTACATTGCAATACTGATAAATTAGATACATTTTACATACATAAGAAATACTTATATGTTTTCTTTTTCAACTTAGTTTTAATTCTAATACTAAACCATTAGATAATACTACAAATTAACGAATTTTATTATTGTCTAACAATGTTTTATATCAACTAAAGATAAATATTAACAATATTTTTAAGTTGTGCACGAGCGGATCAGTATTTTCAAGGTATGTATATTAAAGCGGCGATCTTCAAAGAAAGATAATCCAACATGTGTCTGTAGGTATGGAAAGGTAACCCGTTAAGCTTGTAACATTTAAATGAAATTTAATCAGGATAAATTATACATTTATGAATACTATTTTCTGGAGTTTTGATTAATATTTGTGTTTATTTTGTACCAGAAATATTTATCAATATACCATTTTAACATTTTCGAGAGATCTAACGCAGATTTTTTTTATTGATAAAAATGTCAAATTTCAAGACAGTACTAGTATGTAAGACTTTATTGTGTAGCTACATAATCATAATGTCATAGCCAGAAAAAGTCATAGTTTAAAAAAATTAATCAGTAAAATAATAAACAAAACATATCGCTTAACTTACCAAAATCTAGAACTTTCTTGGTAGTAGGTTTTATTATCTCTGAAAATACATGTACTGATTTGAATGTCAAAGTCAGCTTGAGAAAAAAACCCAATACTTAACAAGAAGATTCCTTGTTATATAGATGTATTTTAATTTTATTAAATTTACAGTTGTTTCTGTATAGTAGTTAGTCCCTATCACTTACCTGTGATATTCTGGGCTGTATCATTTTCTGGCGTAAATAAGCGCCCCTTGATTTTTGGCAGAACATGTTTACTGATAAGTTTGCTAAACTCTAGCTCTCTAAATGTACTCTCATCTTCAAAGATAGATATGAAGAAAAAAAAATAAAAAAAATCATAGAAATTAATAGATAATCTATTCACAATATATTTTCTCCCAAACTAGTGCATTCTGATTGGTGAAAAATTGAACATGTTGAACGCATGTTCAAAACTTCTCATTTTAGAGAAAAAAGTATAGGAAAAAAAAAAAAGAAAATTCGGAGTAACCACTCCAGTTGATTTTGAAAATAAAATAAACATTCTCTGATTGAATGATTAATAGTTTATATATGACCCACTGAATGTATTTTGTTCATTTCTTCTTTAAGCATTTTCGAGATATATGTACCTAAAGGTACATGTATAGTTTAATGCACTTAAGGACACTAAAATTTTATTCCTTGTTTCTTGGAAGTTTTATCTCTTAGGTTTAAAATAAAAACATTAATCACATATATGCATTTTATATTGATAAATTATTTTTTATTAAAAAATGTCAAACTATCTAAGATATTTTTCTAAAATATCTTACTCTTCATAACACGTTTTATTAGATATTTATTTTGTGCATTTATTAAAGTAACTTTTAAAATCTAAAGCATATTATTTGCTAATAAAATATTTTTTTTTTTTTTTTACATTTTCTTTGAAAAAATATAAAATACAAAATTAAAAAAATTTAAAAAAAAATAGAAATAAAAAAAATCTTATGCCATGCTGAAAAACCGTAAAAAGAGATTCTCTAAGATTTTGGTGTAGCATTCCACGTCAGATTATACTTTCTCACTCCGTATTTTTTTAGTAAAATCTGAGCGTATCTATGCCCAATGAACCTACATAAATACACCACATTATATTCTTTAAAAGTTAACTTACTTAATTGTGCCTTAGTTAAAATTCCAATATACAATAAAACTGTAAAGATGAGCAGGCTTTTGAAAAGCTCCATCCTCTTTCACAAAACTAGAAATCCCACCTTCACTTGAATTGATGTTTGTTCGATCATGACGTCATTTTCTGTTTGGACATTGAGATTTATATGTGACCAGGACATGTTCAGACAACAGAAACGGTGATGTTTTCTGTTAAAGAGAGGGAATTGTCGATATTAATACTTTGATCCTGTGGTTTAAGCTTGTAGAAAAAATATTACCATGAACACGTGAAAATTCATGCATCACGTGTGGACAATAACTGATTGATTTTCTCCAATTTGGACAACGGGTACAAAGCACTAAAAAGTGAGAAAATAGCTCAATTTATAATCTTCAGCTTTTTTATTATTTTCTCTGTGCTTTCTTGTCAACCAAAACTTTCTCTACTTTTAAAGATGTACCTGAACACTTTGCATATAAATGTAGAATTTGATATCTCCGATCACATGTGTTAAATATGAAAATATAATCTCTCCGCCCTGTAAGCATAGAACGTTATTATTTTTGATAACTGCAATCCCCGTTTGAACTTTTATCCTTTATAAATTCATAAAGTGCTAAAAAATGTTATTGCCATTTTTTTCTTCTGTATTATAGTACGTTCGAAGACTTTTCTTTTACGAATTATACTTAGTGATTTGTAGCACTGTAGTACTGATTCATTTATCTATAGGCATGGTTAAGAGTTTTGTGACTGTTAATACGTTTAGAATTCACTGATTTACAACCGTGTAGAGGTCATTTAATACAGTGTATCATTGTTTTTAATTTCATTGAAGTGTTATAAAAATATCTAAATTAGAATTTGAATAACAGTAATACTTGTGTAAATATTATCAGCAAAAGTAGACTTCTGTATAGTTTTCTTTCAATGAATCTTGTTGAGTTAAACTGAGTGCTTTAAGAAAGATATATATATATACTCTATAGATACTTTAACTTCAATATGTTTGTAGTAATATACATGAACATGTATCTTTGCAAATATAAATAAATTATTCATAATCTGTGAAAAATTATACAAATAACAGAAGAATATATTCAGCCGGTATTTATTGCCAATGCTCTTTTTGAGAAGCATTGTCTGATATTTGAATTGATGAGGAGATTCTCTTATACCCTTTTTGGTGTCTACTTTTTTGGATATCAAGGGTCTTCGATGTACAGACGTCGACAGGGTTTACATGCTAACACTGAGAAACTATTAACAGACACATTTCCTCATTAATACCCTTCTAGTGCTTCGAATTCGTCTAGCCATTGACAGAAGTTGATGAATATTTTTGCCAATACAAACAATACTGCGTTCCAGATCGTAGGAGTAGAACCTAGCCACAATGAATGAATGCACAAAGGATCTTTCCAGCATATACATCAAGATTGTAGGTCTACGTAACCGCTACCACCGTGAAATCAGCCCTATTTGGACCACAGAAAATGCTCTCATATTTGAGCATTGGTATTACTGTAATGAAATCACTTAAAAGTAGTGTGAGGTTATCCATACTATGCAACATAGCCCTTTTATAAGGTTGGTTGAAAGAAATATAGACTTCACAGAAAAGCATATCGACCAAGCACGGAGTGCGAGGTCACTGTATTTTGGGGGGGGGGGGTCAAATTAAAATATCTATGGATTGACTGAATGAAAGGGCTTTGTTACATTTTCAACAGTGAAATACCGTGATTTATTTATTGAATAAAAGTGATATTCTCTCACAGTGTGAAAGGATACCAAGGTAATATTCTCCCATAGTGTGAAAGAATATCAAAGGAAGTAAAAAAAAAAATAATAATAATAATAATTGCTAGCCTGTCATAATATAGAGATAGTAACTGAACCATCTTGATAGAGACTAAAACTGCCAGAGGCAAAGGAAAAATCAAAGAAATTGTAATAAACAGAAAATTCAACTATATTGTAGTTGGATATGAAATTTATTTCAATTCACTCCGATGAAACAGGATTTTTGGATATTTTCACTCGTGCTTCGCACTTGTGATAATATCAATTAATCCTGTCCCACTCGTGAAATAAATTTCATATCCAACTACAAAACATTGAATTCCCTCTATTTATTTGTTATATCATTTTCTATAAAGGCTGAACTTTTTTTAAAGGAATCATTTTTTTTTCTTTAAAGCCTGCATTATTATTTTTTTTTTTTAAGATTGCAAAATGTGAAGGAAAATAAAATAAAAACTTTTTGTTCAACTTGAAGTTCTACCATTTTTCACCGTCTGACACATTTTTTTTTTTTTTTTTTTTTTTTGATTCGATCACGAAATGGTCTCTATATCTGTACAATTATTGTTTCAAGACGAGGCGAAGAAATTAAGATGTGATACTTATGGACATGAATGAATAATGTGTCTTGTCTTGAAAAGAAAGTATTTAATTTAATTTTCACAAAAGAATTCAATATACTGAAACATGATCAATGTAAAAAAAAATTAAAGAAGATACAACATCATTAACATCATCGCTTAAAAAGCTAGATGTAAATATTAGAAGTCTCTTAAATAAATAAAAAAAAAATCACAAACTCGTCATGATTGTCAATTACATCTAATTTAGTCTCCATCCAGAAAATGCTGTTCGTCCACCAGTTCCACTTTCAATGTTCCCAGCATTGGCCCCGGATTGAGTCCTAATGAAAACGTCATCCCCTTGATTGATGTGAATGACTAGCGCATCGCTGACTGTATGGTCTCCAGTGGGGGCGTAGAGATAGGCCACACCCATAACGTTGTGATTGTGTACCAGTTCCGCTTGGTGATAAGCCCCGTTAACTAAACGCATGGACCATGTAAAAACATAAAAGCCAGTTTTGGGCACAATGAAAGCTCCAGTTGCATTGTGATAACCGTTTCCAGCATTGGTGATTATTTTATCAAAGATTAAAGTGCGCGAGGCACCAGGATTAATGGTATCACCCGTCATATATGCATAAAAAGCCATGATGTCTTTACTTGCAGAGGGTGTTTGGGTTGTATGAAGTGGTAGTAATAGCCTTCCTGTGAATACAAATGTTGTTTAATTCATGTGCTTCAGAGTACTATTTATTGAAGACCGTAAACAACTTTAAAACATTTGACTTTACACGGGCAATAGTATCGGGGGGGGGGGGGGGGGTACATATTATAATCAGTATGAAAGGCCAACCCCTCTTTTTGCTACTATTTTTCGCAGCATATTCAACATATCCGCCGTGTGGATTTCCAATCCTTGATGTCCGGCCAAAACACAGATTCCATTAAGGAAACCGAAAATAACACACAACATGTTCCTTATTTTCATGTTAACACATTGACCGATTAACAATATATATAATTTTTCAGCTGTATTTGACACGGTAAAGGATTATTTGATCAAATGATTCAGCATTCAAACTCCACATCGGGCAACATTTCATCCCTTGTTGGCTAACATAATCAAAGTTGACATCACAATCAGTCAATATTCTGTATACTAATAATCACGCATATATATATATATATATATATATATATATATATATATATATATATATATATATATATATAATAAATCAGCAGCAACAGTTTCAAAAGGGAAGGGGGGTAACCTTCAAAAAAAAAAAATAAACTGTCCAGAAAGTGTGTGCGTGGGAGAGAAGGGACTTCCCAAAATAATCTGACAAGCATATAAAAAAAAAACATCCTTAACTGTCCCCAAAGTTTTTTGCTTCCATAATCGATAGTTACATCAAAAAGTGCTAATTATACACAAGACATGAAATTGTTGTTATCTGAAACATTTCTTTTTATGAATAAGCAAAAGAAATATAGGCTTAATACATTGTAATATATACTAGTACTTGTCTACTACTTGATCAAATGAAACAAAATTCATCATGTCAAGTTAAGAGAGGGAAAAGGGGGAAGTCTCCTTGAGCATTATACCAGTATGTTTTAGTTTTTTGTCAGGCATTGAACTTGAAAACAGCAATGTGGACTGATTTATTTTCAGTATTGCAAGTTATGTCAAAACCAAACTACCATTATATCTATACACATGTAATACATCTATACTGACTTTTCTGAGAATTGTATTGACAGCCATACAGTTTTAACACAGTCTTTTATTTAGCCTCATGGGCTAATGTGGTCATGACAAAAAAATCACTGCAAGTGGTACATATGCATCTTAGAGATGCAAAGTCTGATCCAGCTTATATTGAATCTGACATATTTCATACTTCAGTATGAGAGTAAGGCCTGATCACAGACTCCAAATCCACATTAAACATACGATTGCCACATGTTTTAGATGCTGTAGCTGACCAGTATTACACGCTAAAGCGACTCCTGTTAAAGACAGCATCTGTGTATGCTAACAACTTATTGTGATAAGTATAAACCAATCAACTACACAGGTATAGCTTTAGCTGTTATTTGATGTATGGATCACTTGCTATGCTTGATACAACCGTGATTCTGGTAGAAATTCCAGTTTAAAAATAGATCTGATATTCAAATTTTAGCATAAAATGTGATGGATCTAACAACATTTTGCTTGGCACATGAATCATATTCTTTACAGGAACCCATTTTATGTGTATTTCTTATGTACGTAGAAACATAATTTTTGGTTAAAAGGTCATTATACATATAGGGTTGCAACATTTTTTTCCGTTTAGTTACATTTGGTCATTGTAATCTTTGAGTATCACTAGAAGCAATACCATGTCCATTTCAATTCAGTACTCATTCCTGATTAATTTGTTGTTTCTCTTATACTCAAACTTTGATGCAAAGGTTTTAGAGACATATACACTGTATTTCATATTGATGAGTCTCAAAATGCTATAAATAATGTAAATTTTATTAATTTAAAACATGCAGTCAATTAGAAGATTTTCTCTTGTTATGCCACCATTTAATCACAGCTTCCCTCTTCTTCCAGATGAGATCCTGGCCATATTTCACATACCATCTAAAAAACAAAGTTTTTGTATTTATTTTTTGGTATACATGTAGAAGCACAAAGAATTTTAGTCAAAATATTGAAATGTACACATCGTTCCAAGTAAAATACTTACATGCCAAATAAGGTTCCACCTAAATGTGCAGCATGATCAAAAAACCTCCATCTAAACACAACTCCCAAAATATCAAAAGTTAGCAGTCCTAGTAAACCCTGGTGATGGAATTAAAATACACTGTAAGTACGCCTATGATATATTGCATTATCTGTTATTTAAATTCTGCTACTCATGGGAAATCAGAAAAGAGTAGCATTTGAATACACACAATTATGAGGATTTATAATCAGTGGGTGAACTTAAGTGACCCAATATAGTGACTCAATATGAGGTATGTTCCGTTAGAGCAAAGCATATTTGTGCAATACAAGTATACATTGACTACTTTATGCTTATTAAGAGGTAATGCTATTATAAGTATGTACATGTATTATTAATGGTCGTTGTAAAATGACTGGTTGGTGTGTACTCAATCAGTTGGAATTATTTTATGTACAACACTAATGCAACTAGAAGTGAGTCACCTCTAAATCCACTAAACTACATGTATTATGCACTAACAATAATTTAAATGAAGTGTTTTATGTATACTTCAACTGAGCTTTTAATGTTTATACACACTGACTGTGCTGTGAATGAGTGTGGGATAATCTGGTCTATAAATGTTATACTGGGTTAACTGTCAGGGTAGATTTAAAGTTTATACTCACTGATTGAGCTGAGAATGAGTGTGGGATAATCTGATCTATAAATGCTATGCTGAGTTGACTGTCGGGACAGGTTTAATGTTTATACTCACTGACTGAGCTGAGAATGAGTGTAGGATAATCTGATCTATAAATGTTATACTGCGTTGACTGTCGGGACAGGTTTAATGTTTATAATCACTGACTGAGCTGAGAATGAGTGTGGGATAATCTGATCTATAAATGCTATACTGAGTTAACTGTCAGGGTAGGTTTAATGTTTATACTCACTGACTGAGCTGAGAATGAGTGTGGGATAATCTGGTCTATAAATGCTATACTGAGTTGACTGTCGGGGTAGGTGAGACATGTGGCTCCAATCAAGGCACATATAGCTCCTGACTAAACATAAATATAAAAAAAATCCCATAAACTTACTTATTACTAGTAAACTACAGGATTTCTTCATTAGTATTTTGTTAAATTGGTAACTGTATAACACAATTTAAAAGAATGTAGATAATATGCACTGATGTGAAATACATCCTGGGACTTGAATCTTTCAAATTTTGATTGTGAAAATAAACTCTAAGAAGATTAACTCAAGTGTTCTGTCTTAAACATATCAGATCTGATAGACTCTCCTATACAAAATATACTTTTCTAGAAATGAAAACATAATTTGCTAGTAGCAGTATCAGCTCACCGCTCCTACAGAGGGGGTTGGAATCTTCCAGGCAACCTTGTTGCACATGCTCACAAAAGATGACACAGCAGCTATAAAAAGAACAAAGGAAAATGAAAAAAAATATATAGAAAATAAAAAATTCTCTTTTACAAAACCCAAATAAAAGTCACTCATTAACCAACAAAAGGAGGCAGTATTATATAGATCTGCATTTTAAGAATTGAAAACAAACATGTGCATTTGAAGGGCATTTTTGAATTGAAAACAAACGTGCATCTGAAGGGCATTTTCCTTGGCAACAGAAACTTATTTAAACTGATATAATATGACCATTTTAATGAAACCTATGCCACTTTTAAATGACATATATAACACTTTTAATGACATAGAAGAGGTGCATTTTCTGTTTAAAATGTAAAAGGTACAAGGCTGTTGTCCAGCTTTAATGGCTGACAAAATTTTGCCAAAATTGATAAAATCTTTTTTTTTCATAGGGGAGTGTCCATCACATTATACATGTACATAGTTTTTATTTATTTCTTTTTTTAAACAAATTTTCTTAAGGCTATAAATTGGAAAAAATTATTGGGAAGTATGAAGAGGTTTTTTTTTTATTTGGGGGGGGGGGGGGGAGCTATGACAAACTGCAATATATATATAAATATTAGAATACTAACCACCACTCAGATAAACTCCTAGAAACTGTTCCTTGCCAAACATACTAAGTGTGACAGTAGAAAAACTCAACAGAACATACATATTACAGAACAAGTGAATAAAGTTTTCATGGCTGAATGCTGCGAAAAAGCTCCCCAGGACTGACTGTTCTGAAAAAGTAAAAACATTAAATTTTTACAAACAACAGTAAAAAATGAATGTCTGAAGACACATTCCTCAAATATCTGAATTTGAATCTCTTTGTATCATACCAAAAATATTATTATCTTATGATTTCAATTCTGTTTTTTATTGTCACATCAGCAATTACAGTGATATTTTTAATAGAATTATATAGGAAATACATGTACTATCCTCTGGTATTTTACATGTACATAAATGCTTAATGTTTAAGAAGCTATACTTCAATCACAAGTTCTTGGGGAAAAAATATACGATTATACATGTATATTATAGAGGAAAATGTTGTCTGACTTTAATAAATTTGACTTGAATAATAAAAGTTATAAGTTTTATAATAAGTTTAGATTGAATAATTGAAATCTTACAATTATAAGTATTGTATCTAGAAATCTGAAAACACACACTCAAATAACAAAAATATTGTTTCTCCAATAAAAGGAACTCTATCATAGAACTGCCTGTGTACCTTTACAAGGAGAGCATAAAAAGTATCTCTGCATGAAAGGATAAATGCGTGGGACCTTCCATAAAACATACACGACAGCATTAATCATGACAATCCCACTCACTAAGTTTGTCTGCAACCGAAAAACAAAACGTAAATCTAGTCTTAGAAGAAAACATAAATTTCTTTATTCTTTTACATCCGATTCAAATACTTTATTAAATTTCATCAAACTGAAGTAAATGATGACTGCACTTAACGCCTGTTTTGGGGTCTTTTTCGGTTGCTTCTGTTGCTTTTATATCTAAACCTTATTTCACTTTTGTATGTTCATGAAAGACTCCTGTCAATTTGAAACCAAATTTAAATCTTAAAATGATTTTAGACTGTGATACAATAAAATGATTCAATGTTTTCTGCATGCATGTCCTTACTGCTTTCCAAATATAGTGAATTAATTTTACACTTATCTGCCCTTGATTGAACATTAGATATGCATGAGAGGTGGAGCTAACATTGTAAGAATGGGTCTAAAATTAGACTTGATAAATAACAATGACATGTTTGGAAAAAAGAATGTGATCACTCTTTCCAATCTCCCTCTCCATTCTGTATGGCACAAATACACTTCTGACAAAGTTTCAAAACGAAATTAACAATATGAGCACATCAATGTAAATAAAGCAGATTTTATATCAATGCCAGATGACTTAACGTGTTTGAACACAATGTCCTAGTTAGCACAAAACATGCTACCCTACAAGTCACGTGACGGAATTTAATATTCACAAAGTTACCTGAGGTAAGAAATCACGTGGTGAATTATGATATTCAACATGTCACAATCCTTGGTTACAACACAGAGAGCGAATGTAAGAAGAAGCAGTTTTTTCTCTTTTTAACCATGAGCACATGTTTGTCTATTAATCTCCTTTTGAAACATTATTATTTGTGCAAATATACAACTACTGTTAAACGTAGAACAATAGACAAACATGCGCTGACTATGTATAAAGTCAGTAAAAAAGTGGGCGTCCTCATTATCGAATGGAGATTCAAGAAATTGTGATGACCCTTGCCTTTGAAACCAGATTCGAACTTCGTAAATACACACTTTTATTAAACGTAATTACATAAAGTTGTAGATTGGATGTTGACCATTCTTGCAATGAAAAGAAAAATGCTTGTTTTGAAAGTTTATTTTGTCGCAAATTTCGAAGGTCCTTAAGTGCAGTCATCCTTTATAGGATTTATTTTCTGCAATTATAATTAATAAAAGAAAATGTATAATTACACATGCATTTAAAAGGTAATATCTTTTTCTCACTTTATAATTAATGTACAATTTAAAAAAAAAGAGTTTCCATCACACATATATGTATTAATTAACTAAGTTTACTTACAACTTCTATGAAGTGGTTTTTTAAAACTCCATGGTTGAAGTACAATTGTTGCTTCATTGCCTGAATTTTTTTCTTTATGTTTTCATACTCCCAAATCATGGCACCTGTAAAACTGCAACCACATACCTACAAATAATGTAACACAAAGTATTGGAAACTTTAAAATATTTAATAAAACAAAGAACTATTAGAAGAGGACAAAATGTGATGGATATAATTATAAACAAACTCTCTGCTAGTTGAAGAGCAATATGAAAGAAAACGAATAAAGATCATCTCAGCTTTCTAAATGCTTGTCTTTAAAGTTTTTTCTATAAATTTATAATTTAAAAACCTTACGGTGGCTGTTAATAGGAAATGCTTCACGAGGAGAGAACTGTCACTCTCATAGTGTTGATGTGGACCGAGTTTTGTGCCACGAGCCCCTCTGATAAACTGTTTGTGCGTAAAAGAACAGTTGTTTCCCTTTGGCAATAGCAGTCTTCCTTGACAAGCTTCATTGAAAACATGACTGTGTTTGCATAGAGAAGTTAAACTGAAACATTAAAAAGCAGAGATAATGCATGAATTTATGGTTAATAATGCTTTTACCAAATCACTTCAACGACAAATTAAAAATAGCAACCGTTTACAGAAGAAGTTTGATGAGATGTTTTAAATCACGCATCACTTTATATTTACCCATAATTTGTTAAGGTTGTCTATAGATACAAAAAAATAATAAAATAAAATAAAATGAAGTCCAGTTAACATGGTTAATGAATATGTAGTTTTATAAACTTATATTTATTGGGATTAAAAGAATGTGTAAAAAATGAAATCTTGAAAGTATAAATGCACCACTTATTACCTTAAGGGAAAAAAAGAAAATAATTTAAAATGCAATTGTGACAGAGGAAGATATGTATTAACCATGTTACAAATAAAAGCCAAAGTTAACCTCAATGTAATTTTTATATTTGTCCAACTTACATGTACATGTACATTTTAATATCTATGAAGTTAGAAATATCATATTAAACAGTTTTAGTTATTTATCAATACCGGTAAATGTTTAATGTACCAACTTCATTCAATGTTTACCGGTAGATCAGCTATATGCAAGGCATATATAAGGATTTATATTCAGGATGGTGTATTTTGTGTAATTGTTAATTGCTGAAAATAACATTAAAAAAAAAATTGGATTTTCTAGACTAGACATTAAAAAATTTACCTTTTATTTTTGCCCTTTTTGCTCTAATCTGAAGTGGGCGAATTTAAAAATGAGTGAATTCAAAGAAAACAGCATTATTTTTTTGACAGAAAGTAATGCTGTTTTCCTTAACAGATCTTTGTCTGGGTGAATTTAAAATGGGGCAAAACTGTTTGCAAGAGTGAAAGGGCAAAAAAAAAAAAAAACCCTGCATAAATTAATATCTAAATGTATATAAATAAGGTATTTTAGTCTCATTTTAATTCATCTACTATTCACCAATCTACCTGAATGCATGAATTTCATAATTATGGAAGGGGCACTGCTCAACATAATTATGTATTTAGTTTTTCTGTCTAATACCCAGAAGCAGAGCATCTTCGCTAGCCAAGGGTTTTTGGTCCACTATGGGGAGCAGAGCAGACCCAAAAACCTTGGGGGTTAACGCTAGATGGTACAATGTACAGGTAGACGAACATGAGTTATTCGTGTTCGCCTACCTGTACATTGTACCATCTAGCGTTAACAAAAAAACCTTGGATAGCGAAGATGAAAACAGAGATGATATTTTTGAAGAAGTTATGCATTTTCACTATTTGATTTATTGAACTCCCTCTTACACCAGAGCCCCTGACCCTGCATGGGGGCATGAATTTCACAATTTTGGAAGAGGGCTTAATACTCATTGCCAACAGTTTGACTGCTTTTTGACCAGGAGTAAGAAATTGATGAAAGATTGCATTAATTTTGATTGTACATGTATCAGCCCCACCCTTCAAGCCCGGGGGGGGGGGGGACCATGAAATTCACAAATTTTGTTCCCCTTCACCCATAGATGCTATATATATATATACACCAAACTTGCATGGTCGAAATTGGTTCAGCGGTTCAAAAGAAGACGCTGAAAATGTTTAAATATTATGAGACAATGATTGATGATGGACAAAAATAGATAGCAATGTCATGTGAGTGACTAAGGTGACCTAAAAATGCTCATTTGAGGGATTTTTGATTTTTATTTAAATTATCAAAGTCATTGAACAGACATAGAAAAACAAACAATACACAAACACAATCCTGAAGATAAGCCCCTGTGACCCAAGGGCTTAATTAATAGTTTAAATAATCTAACTGTGTCTTGGGATAATCCTTCACCAAAAAACTGGATCCGCAGGACAAATATCATTTTAAGGTAGGTCGCAGGTTTGCTTTTGTCATCAGTTTCGGTACACAATTTCGACAATTCCAGTGGTTGTTTTGTGCTTATTTGATTATGACGTCAGTTACGTCACAAAGGCGACGTTGCATTGCTTCCCGTTTATTTCTCTGAAAATTACTTTAGCAATAGAATCTAGTCCGTACAAAGTGAAGAAAGTACATGTTATTGTCCGTAATTGTATTGTCGTAAATGTATGAACCAAGAGTATTATATTGAATTCTGCTCTGATTAGGCCTATATGTGTAATGTATAAGAACTAAGAACAAACTAATAAAACATAATAAATGTGATGCACAAGGCAAAAGGAATAATTTATATTGTAAATGATACTAAACTGCTAAAGGTCCATCAAAATGAGTCAGTGTTAAATTAAAGATATGGCATGCAAAATGAAAGTTACCGTAAATTGCTAAGCCAAAAAATTGAAAGGTTGTATGTATGCACGTAATTTGTAATGAAGGGAAGGTGCGTAATGCGCCATGTTTGCTCATCACAGCCGGAAAAAAACAAATTTGTTATTTTTAGGATAAAATCAATCCTCAACACTAAAAACGGATGAAATTTAATTATATGCATTTCCCCCCCTTTTTTTTTTTCTTAAATTATTTTGTATTTGAATCTGATAAAGTCGTTCTCTTTATGCAGGCTAGTAAGGAATTCATTTATCACAGAGAAATGCATTAATTAAACATGTTAAAATAAATTTATACAAACACCCGGCATATCGGACCTTTATGACACTCTAAAACAGATATCAATATACTACATGTATTATGAAATACAAGTATCAAGTACATTTTTTTTATATAACAAAATTAAGCTGTCTGTGTATAACCTGAATGCAAGTATTTTACATTTTGCCGATGAAAAATTGATAAAGAAAAAACAAAACAAGAAAGAACAAATGTTTGAGAGTTAGGATTATATACTGAATTGCGATTGATATAAAAAGAACATTGCCGGTAAACACCCCTCCCCCCCCCCCCCCCCCTCCTCAGTAGCGTTTTTTTTTTTTCTTTACCAATTTCGAATGAAGTGATGAAATTCACATGTTATAATTGAAATCTGAATAATGAACTTGAACATCCTAACATTACTTGAATTAATTATCAATCGCAGTGTTGTCGCTGTATTTTAATTCTAATGCACAAAGAGTGTTTATCACAGCCGTGTACCGTTCATTCTGACTTCCTGGGCAAAATATGAATTTCATAATACAGATAAGTAGATACATTGCTGTTCTTCCTAACACGTTTCGCAATGAGTGAAATGCTTAATAAAATTATAGCGTGCATCTATGTCACCTTTTAGATCTTGTATATTCCAAATATAACGATACTTATATGTAAACGCGATTACCTTCAATATACATGTATGACGTTTTAGTCATAAATAACGCCAAAAACGCAACATTTTGGCGATATAAAAGCAAACTTTAAAATTATTTAGCGAAAAAACTAGCGAGAAGACATATCAATTTTTTTTACCTCAATAGTTTTAATTTTACCTCATCTTGATATTTTGAAATTTCTGAGTAATTCGTCTAAGTCTTTAAAAAGTTATCCGACCTTTTCTAAAGAAACTCTTGCAGTAAAATTCTTTTAAAAACGTTATTTTCCTATATATTTCTATAGTAAAGCGTAAAAATAATACCGAAAACTATACGGCGTTTACAGAAATATAGCACTAAAACCACGTAGGCAAATTAATAAAAATTTTAGATAATATGCTGTAAATTCTAAGGAACATTATTTCAAATTTTCAGGATATGTTTTCTCATAAGAATTTTTATGCAGTAAACCCGCGACCTACCTTAACGATAGGCCTAGTCTAGAACAATCTATTTGGACCAACCAAAGGCTAAACAAAATCGTTTAAGCATGCCAAAAATCGGAATAAAGATATCACTCATTCTTGGATAACAATCTGGTCATCAAAGTTAACTACAAATTATATACATGTATGATGTAATGACTAAAAAAGTTTGTTATGGTTTGATAACAACATTGCATAAGGGTTACTGGAACTGAGGAAATCCGAACTGCAAAAGAAATACTTGCACAAATTAAAAGAGAACATGCAGGCATATCGAAAAAACTCTCACCTTTCCAGTGATCGCTTTGCTGGAAATCTACATAAAAGTATCAAAGATCCTGGCATTTTGAACGTTTCTTAACTCGCATCTAGACTACATTCCTGTTTTTCTTTTCGAGAGGTTATTGTTATGAAAGTAAACTCTTGAGATAATCCGAAAGCCACGTGTTGGGATCACCAAAACGTTTTATTCATAGGAAATTTAAACTTGCGTTTAGTTTATAATGTAATGACTTGGATCGACACATGACAATATTCCGACATAGAAGTAAAAATGTAAACAAGTTTATTGAGCTTTTTCCTCCAAAAATACTACAAAGGACGCAGATTTTTGAATTACGAGAAGATGTCAGATGAAGTACACACGGATCATAATTACAGGTTAATTAGAAATCTTTGAAAGATAATCAGTGTAAATATTGTACCATTTTCAACACAAATATATGATGGGCGGAGACGATTTGTTATTTTTGCGTGTTTCTCTAATTTTTGACAATCTAATCGAATTCCAAGCATGGTTAAAAAAGATGAAGCCTATAAATTCAATTCATTTTTTTTCACAAATAATTCAAAAGCGATGAATTCAAAAAGACAAATACAATATTTATATTGATCGACCGTGGACAGGTGGATGATTAGGATCATACAGTCAAAGTTAACTCGTATCTTAAACTTAAAGTGACCGAGAATTTTTTTTTAGATATCCGAGAGTTCAATATACTGACATTACAATACATGATTTAAAAAGTTATAGAGAATTTCAACTCACTTTGACATATCCATGGTATCTGAGATATCGATGTTTGAGATACTCAAGTTGCAGAATATCAATTTTTGTTATAAATGCATGTACTAATTAGTTATGACTGTTATGTTCATGATATATTTTAAAATCACAGGGAATAAAAATCACTTAGCTATAAGTATAAGCATGAATTCAAAATGTATGTTGGCTGTATTAATCATAACCATGTTTTACTGTTTATCTCTATCAACTGATCAAAAAAGAGAACCGAGTCTTTCTGAAATAGAAATCCCTCTTCGAATAAAGGAATATTTCTCAAAATAAGGGGATACATGTATTTCTCAATATCTAAATATATCTCTAATAGGGACTACTGAAAAGCTTTCCGGTAATAGAATGAAAAAAAAAAAAAAAACAACCAACAAAAAACTAATGGATGATCTCTTGAAGATTCAAAGTAAGATACTACATCTTTTTTTCCTCAAGGGAGAATGTATCAGTCATAACATCTACTAGAACAATCCATTTATAAAAGAGATATCTCATTCTTTAAACAAAGAATTTTGTCAGTGGAAAGAGATATCTCCATCTGAATAAAAAATACATATACCACCTGGAATTTCTTACATTTTCATTTGACTGGTAAAATTTTTAATTGTCATTTCCTCAAAGACCAAATGCATGACAGGATTAAAAAGTTTGCTCTTAAAAACAATCAACTATATATATGGTAACCCTCTTGAAATATTATATATATCCCTTTTTCAAGATACATGTAGACACTTGTAGTTCCTAGGGATGTTGAAAGTACTTCAAAAAATAAAAATAATTTTATCTTGTGTTTTGCAGTCCATATTTCAGCTCACTGAACCCAAAGTATATCTGTATCTTTATCTACCTTTAGACACTGACAGATTATGAGGATAAATGAAATCACTATGTTTGTGCTTCCTCATTCCAGAACAAGGGAGTTAATTATGCACCTATTTCAATTAAATTCATGCATCTTGTTTCTTTGAATAAATCATAATAAAATGGCATTTCATAGCTTATTGGCACAAGTTTTTATTAACACATTCAATACAAATTAGCAGGAATATAAAAAAAGGCCAGAATTATTATTAAAATGTGATATAAAGACTGAAGTCATGCAGCCTTCAATTATATACATTTTTGGATATAGGGACTAGAGATCAAATTCTGTTCAGGTCCACCAAATACTCTTCTTCTTTTGACAATGGGGGCTACATGCCACCACTTAGAATTGCATGACAGGCATATTACATGTAGTCTTCCAGGGACAAACCTGGCTCAGTAACTCACTGTAAGGACATACATGTAGAATTTAATTTTGGTTGGGGATAAGGGGGGGGGGGTGTCTGGAAAGTATATGTATTCAGTGTGACCAGATACAGGTAGATCAGTCAGTAGAGTAACTTTTTAGAGTAAGTAGAGTTTAAATTGAATTAACAATTGCATATTTTCCCATAATTTCTATTACACAGCATTATATGAATTAAATTACCTCGGTGTTTACATGCAAGAAATTTGTAATGTTTGATCTGCACAAAGTATATAAAAGAGATTTAAGTTCAGTACACTGTTAGCCTTTGAAAAAACAAATCATTTTAAATATACGTTTTATCATATATGATCACTGTAGTATTTTGATTTCCTTTTAATGAAGGTAAGATGAAAGAGAAAATTTGTGTCCCTATTCCAGGTCAGAACACAAGAGCTTGTTGTTTGGATTGAAGACTGTTACTGAAGGATTATTGTCTGGACAGAGCAGTAATGTCTGGAACATCCACGGAGGGCTCAACAGGATGTGTGCTCAACTGGAGCATATCATGTATCATGGTTTGAAAAGCATTAAGGTAGGTCTAGTGAAAAGTAAAGAACGTTAAAATCAAAGGAGATTGATGTAAACTCATATATGATTATATACATGTACATGCATGTATATGTGTCTTCTTCTGGTGTCAATGTGAAGAAATGAGTTATTATGATATATGTCAGGTAGGGGGATGAAGAAGGTAGGTAAATTATCATTTTTCTCTAAATGTTTAGTTAAAAGCACTTTTTTTGAGTGTTTACTGAAAGAATTTTACAGAAGACTTCCTTTCATTCAGAAATCTTTTATGTTTAGTGGTTGGCATCATTGTATGTTTTATGGTTGGCATAAATGTATCTTCACAATTAAAAAAAAAGGATAATTTTTCTCTTCAAACAGGGAGACCTTGGCATACAGCTGGACTTCTGGCCAGTTGTGTACAGCCTGAAGACATTGAACCCTGTCCTGGCCCCAGCACTGGACAAGGTCAACAGGTCAGGAGGAAACAGGGGATCTACCTGGCTTAGAGAGAGCTTAAGGGATCACACCTTATCCTCTCAGTTATCTACCCTTGTATCCAACAAGTCACTGATGAGCAAGTTTTACTTTGGTAAGCATTAATATCTGAAAATTTATTGGTGATTTAAAAGATGTATTTTTTAGCCATTAATTTGAATTGATATTGCTTATTGTGAATATCTGGCGTTTCAGAGTTTGCTTTCCTAAATGACGAACAGTACTTCAAGGCTTTATGTGTTTGTTTGAAAGCCATTGAGCTCAACAGAATATCCCTGTTAGCTGAACTGGATCTAAAATTGGTAAAGGGGGAATTTACTTTATAAAATATGAAGATAAATATAAACAATAAGTGTCTTCTAATTGATGCAGAAATTAAACAGATTTCCATATAATAGGTAATTTCTGCAGTTGTGTGACTTATGTGGCAACTATCATTATGAAAATTGAAAACTTAAAAGTTCATTGACCCTCTGGTAAGGGAGATAACTCACTGTGAGAAATAATTATTATTTCTCAATAAATTTGTCAAGTTAAAGGGCCATTTCTGTCAAATTTTGCTCCCACAATTAATGTATGCTTAAATTGTATGCATTTTAAATGAATTGTATATATATATATATATATATATATATATATATATATATATATATATATATATTTTTTTTTTGGGGGGGGGGATCATAAGCATAAAGCAATTAAGAGTGAACAGAGGGATGATAAATTTTAAGTATATTAGTAAAAATTGATTTTTTTTTTTGCTGATTGCTAATGACATTGGAAAAACTAAACACCTTCTGGAAAAAATTAAATGCTAAATCTTTGCAGGATTGAATTCCATCATTTTAAGTCAAAGGATTTATGAATTATACAAAAATTAGCAATTTTGAATCACTTTATTTCATGATCATACATAGATTATTACTCCAGCTTTTTCTTAGTATTTCATTTTTGCATATCCATTTTAGCTGAGTCACAGCCATGAGCGAGATATTAGAGGAACCAGAAGCAGATCATGGGCTGTACCAGAAAGAAAACATTGCAACTCAGTTGGTGATAGGAAGTCTAGTTCCCATGATGCTATGGCACTTGCACCACCTTTTGCATCTCCAAAACAGGAGAGCATCTTGTGCATGTCTGATGAGCATGCAGTCCCTTCCTCTATAAGTATGAAAATATTATACTTACATGTATTTAGAATTTGTGTACGTTTGATTTGTGACAGATGCACAGGTGCCACAGTATGTCATAGTTGTATTTGCCCTCTAGTCATTTTATCTGGAAACTTCAATCCTCTGGCTGCTACAGTATTATTCAAAATTTTTATCCCAGTCACATATTACTTGAGTGTAATGAACAACATGTAATTATTATGTTATGACATTTTAATCTTATAAATTGCAGCTGTGCTCTATGTACATGTAGAATTCATAAATCAATATACCGGTACATGATGTTTAAGCATTTATGATGACTGTATTACAAATAGTGATTTTAATGCACAATTGAAATGTAAATAGGCCCAAATTCAGTAACATGTTACATGTATAATACAGCAACGTTTAATTTGAAAATATTGACCTCAGAGACATAACAAATATTGACAAAGTCATGATACAGAAGTGAGGGCTAATTTTTCTCATATGTGCAAGTCTGTGCTATGAAAACGAGTATTTCTCATTTGTGCAAGTGTGTGCTTTTTATAACAGGAGAAAGCACTAGTCCAGAAGAAACCAAGAGCTTGGCCCGTGAATCTTTAAGGACAGTTTTACGTAAATCCGGTTCAGAGTCGCCAACAGGGGATGCCCCAGATTTTAGTTTCTATGACAATCTGAATAGTGATCCTCTTCTAAATATAGAATTTAGTGATGAAATGAACCATATGAATCCTACCTTAAAGGAAGTGGTGTCCACTCCACAGCTGGTAAATCATAAGTCCAAGAAGGTCATTGTCAGAAGCCAGTCAGACACTGGAATGTCCAAAACCTCAGCTGTGATAAAAAATATTTACAAGGATAATGAGGATTTTAGCCATGAAACTCCTGGGTCTGTGAGCAGACTTGAAGATATTTTCTCAGACTCTGAATGCCCTCCAAAGGGAGAAGAAAAGGAGAAGTCCAAAGTGAAATCAAAAGGTCATAAGAGGTCAAGGTCAGATCAAGGAGGGATCAAGGTTGAGAAAATGACACAAAAAGAGAATAAGGTTTCAACAGAAGCAAAAGGAGTTGTAATATATGAAAATAAAGGTTTGTAAACAATTCTTTATCCTACATGTTAATATCAATGATCCTCTATATCAACCTTCACAATTTTTTGTGAAAAATAATATGGGCTTATGGATATGTAATTACAGAGATACTCTACTTAAATGTGGTAATCTATTATTTACATGTACAAGTACGTGTATATGTATTTAAAATATATATATAAAAAAAAAATAAATGTTATGTTGCAAGTATCATGTTTAGTTGTTATATTGTATATGTAATCCCGAACAATAGATGGTCTGACATTACTGGAATGAAATGTTTAATTTGTGAAATAGTTTAAAATATGAAAATGGATATTGAAAATGTCACATTTTAATACATTATATGGTTTATGAATTACAGATATGCCAGGGGAGGGAACATTTAAACAACCTTTACAGGGACAGTCCCTCATTAATTACCTATCCTCCCAGGATTTCCACACCTGTGCCAATCTAGATAAAGTAAGTAGTTTTGAAATAATGTTGTTAAATTTTTGATTTTACAGTGTACATTTGCTTGACTTTGTACTTAGATTTGAATTCTAAATTGTTGTTTGAAACACCTGTGAAATAGTAAAGCTTTTGCAAAAAAATTTTCATTTTAGAATTGGAAATTTCATAATAGATATTTTTCCTTTCTCATTAGGATATAAGTTTTCAATCAAAAGAAAATGTACAGCCTAGAAGATTACTTTTTCAGTAACTGAATCTTCTTCTTTTTTTTTTTACAGGAGAATGCACATTTTAGCATTTCTGAAGCCTTAATAGCAGCCATTGAGCAGATGAAGTGGAACCATGTGATCAGTCCCAAAGTACGAGAAGATCCGGACGAAGAGGATTCTGATGAGGAAATCAACAAACTTAAGCAAAGAATCCGGATCAGAAAGCAACAGAAACTAAGGGAGGTAAGAGCAAAAAAAAACTTAAACAACGAATCCGGATCAGAAAGCAACAGAAACTAAGGGAGGTAAGAACAAAAAACAAACAACGGATCCAGATCAGAAAGCAACAGGAAGTAAGGGAGGTAAGAACAAAAAAACAAACTTAAACAAAGGATCCGGATCAGAAAGCAACAGAAACTAAGGGAGGTAAGAACAAAAAACAAACAACGGATCCAGATCAGAAAGCAACAGGAAGTAAGGGAGGTAAGAACAAAAAAACAAACTTAAACAAAGGATCCGGATCAGAAAGCAACAGAAACTAAGGGAGGTAAGTACAAAAAAACAAACAACGGATCTGGATCAGTAAGCAACAGAAACTAAGGGAGGTAAGAACAAAAAAAAATCCAAAACAGGAAGTACATGTTCCAAAACTTTTAAAGGGAAGAAGCAAATATAAAAAACAAATTACCCAGATCAGTAAAAAGCTGAAAAAGTTATTGTAAGTTTCAAGTATTTTAATCAAGTTTTTAAGAAAGGTTTAAGAAATTTTATTTTCTTTCTTTCTTTTCCTGTTTTTTTTTTTTTTTTTTTTTTTAAATTTTGGTGTCCCTTTTCTGGAATTTTTAAAGTTAGAATTATTAATTTTCAAATAATGTATAATTTCCAATATTGTGATCATCAAACAAACCAAATAAATATGAAGAAATTAGGCTATATTACAGTATACATTTATATATAAAAATCTTAAACTTGTAGCTTGAGGATGTCTAGCAGACAGACAAAATATGCATAAAATAATTCAATTTTAAGTGTCAGTCTTAAGTCTTGCATTCATGCCTTTGCAAAATACCGTATATACCGGTACACTACTGTTTTTACAAGCATAAGCAAAAGTAATGGTATTTTATATTTTTCACAGAAAGCCAAATTTTTTCCAACATCCAGTGATGGACTGACTGAAAGTAAGTATTATTAACTTGAATGTTAGAAGAATTTTTTTTATTTATTGCAGATGTACAGTACATGTTTATTTTCTAGACTTATTTTTACTTTAAATCACACTTCTTTACATCAAATACTTAACTTTCAATTGATATATTTTTTTCATCACAATTATTTTATTTATAGTGTAGATGCACTTAGGCTAATAATTTTGTTGTAGTTTAAGTTGTTGATGCAACTGTAATTTTGTATGTGCAATTCATTTTTTATTTTGAATTGAATCTCAGTTTTGTTTGTACTATTTTGTTTATAATTCAAACTATATTTTCATTTTGTCAGCTGCTACAACTAGCAAGAGTCCTTCTTCAGTGTTAAGTTCATCCTTCCAAAATATTACAGGTGTGCATTGTTTCTCATTTCTGTAGAATAAGATTTCCCCTTGATGACCCCACAATTCAGATATCTGATGAGAATCAATAGTAACTTATTCAGAGCCAAGAAGGACTTTAACTATCAAGATATGTATTGAATGAGTCTATAATTTTAGATAATCTACTGTATGAATTATTGTGGAGTCATTTCAATTTCTGGAGGTCAATGTTTGTGTGTAATCTTTTACTTGTTCATGGGGAAATGATTTCATGGGTAACTCATAGGTACATGAGCTTTAATGGACCAGTAGGTTGACAATGTTAACTTTAGTTTGGGGGGGGGGGGGGTGCATATTTGTGGGTATGGGATTAACCAACAAAATGCTTGAACATTGGTCCCCCACAAATGATGATTCCACTGTATTGTGGTGATCAGAGTGATATACTGTAAATGCTGAAGTTATGGTAGAACCTGTGATTTAAAGTATCCCCATTGTGAAACCAGCATATTTAATCTCCAAAATAAAGGGAAGGAAACACGAACATCAAGAATCAAAGCATACAGACACTGTAGGGCACAGTATTTTTCTATTTATATCTTTAAACAATCGAGGTAAGAAACCTGATAAAATAACTGCTTTAAGATATTTAAGACATACTAAATTAGTTTCATATGAAATATTAAAAAAATTAAATGACAATATTGAATTTGTTCAGCTCAAGGTCCTTCTTCCCCTGTAGAAAATCAGATGTGAAATTCAATTCTGACATACATCCATGCATTTTGTTTGTGTCATCATACTTGAAATGAAGTTATGACCTATCTAGAGGATTGAGTTTAATTATAAATTCATATGATAGTTAACTTTACATTATTTTTTCATTAGACAGCAGTGGTTCTGATGTTGAAGTGGATGAAATAGAGTTTACAAGTAAGTCTGTTCAAATGCATTAAAAACATTAAAAACCATGGAACAATGCTGCACATTCTATTACAATGTATATGATTTACACTGTAATTTAATGAAAAGTGTGTACAAAGCATCAGCTGAGAAGAAAGAAGAATATGATAACAGTATTTTAAAGCTTTTTTAAATTCAAAACTTCATTAAATTTTATCCACATGGTAGATGTAATGCAGAAGATCTTTTAAAAAGCAAGAAGTTGAAAGAAGTTTTACATGTAAAATATATGTCAGAAAACATCCTTTTAATTAAGCAGCTCTAGTGACTCAAATATATTTGCCAGCTTTATCTTACCTGAACACTCAGCACTGAAACTTGTAAGTCAGAAAATTGATATAACAAGGGAAATAACCTGGTAAGGCAGCGTTAGATGAACTCAAACCAGTCAAGTTTAAAATTTACCTTGAACAACAACTTAGATGTATCTATACATGTACATGTAGTTGCTTCTAGATATTGTATTTTACATATTACTTGGATACATGATGTCAAAAAAAGTATAAGTTAGAACTGCACTTTAATATCATAATGAAAAGAATACTAGTGAATACTTCATATTTTTTCTTTTATTTTCAAATAATCATTAAAGCAGAGTACAACATCAGAACATTCAGTTGGATTCACATGACATGATAACAGATGAATGTTAGCCATAAATAAAAGAAAATTTAAATTAAGTTTTACACAAACTTTTTAAATATGACTAAAATTATGCAGTTTCAGATAATGAGCAGGAAAATGAAGGAAATTTGAGTTTGCTCAAATCAAAAGGGCTTTCACTTTCCCTGGCTTCACTGTATTCAGGTATGCACTTCGATCCAAACCTTCCCTTAGCTGTAGAGCTCACCTAGCTTGCTACTGATCAGTTGAGATTTAAAGCCTATCTGAAAATGAGACTTGAGTCATATTTTCTGATAAAAATTTCACCCATCTGTCTGCCTATATGACATCCCCCAAACCAGAATTAGAGTGGTTGAAACCATGAACTTCATTTTAACAGTTTATGGCAACAATAAGATATTTCATTTGTCTCCTTTGTGAGGAATAAATGTTAACCTCAGTGAGTGTTGTGGCCCAAAAGCCTCTTGTTAATATTCAGATGCAGTGTAAAATTTAAGAATCATAGGAATGCAATTTCAATGAAATTGATTTCTTTCAGATGTTTCTAAATTAAAAAAAGTTGGAATAACCCGTAACCTATAATTACATGTTGTTCATTATACTTACTGACTGACCTTTTCTTTTCAAGATGCTGATTTACAAAAAGTTAAACCTGACAGACAAAGGTTAGTAATTTACTGTAAAAAGTCACAATAATTTGATGTTCAATATTTCATCATAGCAAGAATTTTGTCATATTATTAGTTATCCAGGTCCAATCAAGGGGGTAAGGGGATTTACCCTTGATTTTATTCCATACATCCTGAGGGCGAAGGGTGTATGAAATAAAACCGGGGGTAAATCCCTGTACACCTTTGACTGGACCTGGATAATAAAGAATGAATTGTTTAAATGTTCAAATCTGGCCCCTCGATAATTTACAAAAAATTAAATCAAAGATTTTCTGCATATTTTTGTCTCAATCTTCCCACCAAACATTGTAGTTTATTAATTTCAATTTCAATTTTTACTTCCATGCACTGTAATTAGGTATTTACCTGATTAATATAGCAGGGCTACGTTGTTTACATCCATTTCTCATAGACTTTAGGCTACACCCCCATTTTGCAAGCCAATTTTTTATATGAGCGCATGGATGTTTCAAGTTGGTCAATGTAAAGAGATATACTAGTCATTTACATTCATGAAAGAAATTGAAACAGTCTTGCGCTCATTTGTCATTTTCTAAAAAGGTGCAAAATCACGGGTGCTTGTCTCCATAGTAAAGGCACCTTGTTTACAAATGTCAAGCCGCCTTTGACCTCTTGAATAACAAAGCACTATGGGAAAGGGGCCTTAAATCTATTCACTTTCGCGCTTTGATCACACCTATGCGACATCGTGTATAGGTGTCTGCGAGCTATCGATGGTCAAATCATTTTTCAAATGGGAATTAAAATTTTGGGAGAAAACTTATTTATGATTAAGTTATGTTAAGATTTTTTATTTACTTGTTAGTAAACGCTATTTCAGTCGATTTTGTTTGATTTTTTTTCTTTTGATTTCTATATAGCATATAGCTTGCACTTACTGCCTGTGTCTCATAAATACAGAATTTTGAAATTTAAATCATTGTGGGTGCATATATTACATTTTGCATTTGTTCTTAAATATACATCAGTGCTACATTCATTGACTCTTGAAAGATAGAATAGCTTTTTTTCCAATTAAAACTATCAATTAATTTTATAGACCATTATTTGAAAAACACTAATTCATGTATCTTTAGAAAAATAAACTGTTGTAAGTGCACAAATGCATACTTCCATTTGAGAAACCTTAGGGAAAGAAATTGAAATAAGGAGCGCTAAAAAGACCTGTATACATATCGGATAAAATGTCACTGGATGAATACATTTGCACAAAATGCACCCCTAATTTGAATACCGGGTAAAGGGAAGCTTCAGGTTTCTTCTAGCGACCCTGCAATTGCTAAAATGCCTATATTTTGTCTCTAGCACGAAATTAGAGGGGCTTTAACTGTCAGTTATTCATAAAACTTAGTACACCTCGAACACACACTAATGTATTCGTACTAATCCCACGCTTGATAGACGCCCCGCCTTCTCATTCAAATAATACAATGACCTACATGGCTGTAATGGCTAAGCTGGGATTTTATAGTAAAGTATACGATTTTATTTAATCAATATCGTATATATATTGAAAGTCTATTTCCCCAAAAAAATTTTTATGAGTACCTATACAGACCATGCTTGAAGACTTTAGCTATAATATGACAATGTTATGATTTGAAAAGGTAAAATTCTTCATTTAAAAAGGGGCGAGAAAGCAGTGTTATGAAGACTCATTCTTTATTTCCTATGTAACCTAATAAATTCTATCTAAACGCAAGTACAGTCAATGGTGTTTCTACCTATAAGATTTACTACGTGCTACCATGCCGTCATGTTATTTTACTTTTTGTGATGAACTATGCATTGTGATGTATTAACCATGGCTTGCTAACCAATCAAATCTCATGTTACAAGCTAGATATGAAATAATTTTTTTATGCATCAGTAAGAGTTTGAATGGATTCCCCTGATATCATGCTGAAGAAGGAAGACTGATGGATGAAACATAATCATTATGTTGGGGGGGGGGTCTTATTTGCTTGACTGTAAAGTTTTATCATGGTGAAATTCTAGAGATTATTTTTTCTTCAAGCATAATGATCCCAGAATAATCATTTGAACAAGATCTAGACTGCATCTATAGGTTAAATAACTATACATGTATTTTGTCATTGAGATTGGTATTGGGATTAGCCAAAATTGATTGATTTCTTTCCTTCAGTCTTTGGGTATTGTTATTAGTTAAACATATAGTCAAAATTGGTCAATTTCTTTTCTGAACTATACTTTCCATAGTCTGTAACCTTAATCTAAAAAAAAATATGCAAATATGCATTATGCTCTAATTCCTGACTCCACAGTAATTCTGTGTTAGCATTTGAACTCAAAGGAGGAAACTCCTAAAACACATGGTTCTAAAGATCTAAAAATTGAGTGATGTTTGTATTTTATCTGTGCAGCTCGATGGAGGTATCAGATCAATCCGGTGTATCAGCAGAATCGGTGGCCATTCTTCTTCTGAAAAAGTTCTCAGAAAAGCAACTTCCCAAAGCATCTGATTTAGAGTGGCTTGTGCCTATATCAGAGGCACCTCAAGAGGTAAGAGAGAGAGAGATATAGCACATACAATTCAATATACATGTACAGTATGTGTGGAACTTGAATCCAAAGTGTTGAATTTTTTTAATGCATTTCTTCTTCTGTATTTGCTTCTCAGTTACTTCCCTTGCCAAAATCCTATCCAATATCACCTGATGATGGGGAAACTGAAATGGAAGGATTTACAAACTCGGTGATTGGGGTAAGAAACTTGGTTAACTTATTGGCTGTGAATCTGATATTTATTTTTTCAAATAAGTTTGTCATACTCTTTGGCAATACATGTAAATTGCCTTGTTTATTTCAGGCATTGAGATTGAGGGGAAACAATGAATGGGCCCCTCCCCGATCTCAGATTATTTTTGACATTCATTCAAATCAAAAGTAAGTGATACTTTAAAATCAATCACATCATCAGAAAAAAATACTGTAACATTCTGTGTCACCTGTGACTTGTAATATTGGAAAAGTAGCTAGGATTTATTTGAATTATTCAATGAACATTAAAATAGTGTAGGCATGGAAAGTCTGTTTATGGACTTATAAATGCAGTGTATTTCAGGAGAGGGGATGTCATGGCAAAACAGAATTTCCGGTGTGCTGGATGTGGAACCAGAGTTGAACCAGGTATACTGACTGAAAAGTGGTTTAAAAATGGAAAGAAGACAAAATTTTAATCTACTGTATATAAATTATCATGATTTTTTAAATATATACATGTACGGTGATTTTTATGCCCCCCTTCCAAGAAGGGAGGGCATATTGCTTTGCTGCTGTCTGTCGTTCGGTCCACCAACAGTTTCCGTTCATTTTCTTTGTTGGGGTTGCATATACTGAAATGAAATTTGGTATACAGATATATCATAAAAGTATCTAGATCAGTTGTGTTTTGGGTATGATGGAGCAATTTTTGACAGAGTTATGCCCCTTGGACTTTGAAAAATTCCAATTATTTGCAGTTTCCGTTCATTTTCTTTGCAGAGGTTGCACATACTGAAATGAAACTTGGTATACAGATTTATCATATGAATATCTAGGTCAAGTTCTGTTTGAGTATGATGGAGCAATTTTTGACAGAGTTATGCCCCTTGGACTTTGAAAGATTCCAATTATTTGCAGTTTCCGTTCATTTTCTTCGCAGAGGTTGCACATACTGAAATGAAATTTGGTATACAGATATATCATGAAAATATCTAGGTCAAGTTCTGTTTTGGGTACGATGGAGCAATTTTTGACAGAGTTATGCCCCTTGGACTTAGAAAAATTCCAATTATTGGGGGGGGGGGGGCATGGGCATAAGTGTTTCACAAACATCTCTTGTTTTTCCCATCATTCTGCTTTATTAATACTGTATTGTAAGAGTTTGATCAATTCAGCTAAATGAACAGTAAATTAAAGGGCTATGAAAAAAAAAAAGAAAAGAAAACAGGTTTCTAAATAAAGGATTTTGCATTTCAGCATATATGAAGAGATTCCGATACTGTGAATACCTGGGGAAATATTTTTGTCAGTGTTGTCACACAAACAAAGTCAACTACATTCCTGGACATATAGTTAGGAAATGGGATTTTAAGCAGTATGCAGTGTCCGACTTCTCTTGGCGTTTACTCTCACGGATTTTTAATGAACCTTATTTTAATTTATTGACAATTAATCCAGCATTGTTCAAGAAAGTGAAAGTACTGGACGCTATTCAAGCTTTAAGATTACAGCTGATGTACCTGTGTAAATTCCTTAAGATTTGTAAATATTCAGAAAGGTAATTTGTACTTTTTTTAATCTTAAGGAACGAACTTATTGGCTTTATAACTATATAACCTGGGTTGGGGCATTTTACACTGTATAAATCTTCTTCTTCGAAAATGCCTTCAAACTGTACAAGTTTTAAATGTGATGTCGTGCAGATTGGTTATTAGTTTTTGATGCTAGTCATTGTGGTGTAGGCAAAACAAGTTATATATAAACTAATTTTTGTTTCCAATCAAATAGCGAGATCTAACCAAAATTAAACTATTAATTACTGAATCACAAAAATAGTACCTAGCTAATTTAACACTTATAAATAGAATATAGACAGCTTCTTATTTTGATATAAATTACACATGCAAACTTAATTCATGAAAATCAAATCATAATTCTTATTCAAGAAATATTGTACTTTTAAAGATAAAAAAAACTTTACAGTGTTTTAAATGGATAAGATTACATTATTGGTAATATATATTTCCTTTGATATTTTCTGAAACATTGACACAACAGCTTTGAACGTTTCTTTAGCTACATTGTATGTTTTCACAGTATTATTAGCAAGATAAAGAAGGAGCCTTCCCACTGGCATGAGGACGTAGATGTGTATTCTATCTGTGATCTTGTTAATGTAAGTTGATCTTTCAGTTATTCAAATTTGGGGATAAAAACTTGCTTATAAGGAAGTCCTGGGGACACGAGTTTTTAGTTCCTTACAACCAAAATTCTTTATAATATTCTTATAAAAAAATTATAGTGCAATGATGTGAGGGATTGGGAAAATATTCAACTTCTTTATTAGTGAGAATTCCATATATCTGAGTTCTGTATTTATAAGCGAGTTTTACTGTATATGTTCATGTAACAGAAGTAAAATGTTCTAAGACTGCATAGGTATATGAAAATATAATAATTGTGTGAAATGTGTGTTTGTTAAGTGCACTGTGATCTTATATAAAAACATGTATAATACTGGAGTTTGGTCCCACACTAATACATGTAAAATGTAAATGACTGTATTGATTTCTGCCATTTGAATTAAATAGATTACCGTGTTTGGCCGAATATAATATACACTTTTTTCCTAGAATATTTTTTTGAGAGAAAGGGGTGGGTATTTCACATAACAATAGGATTTTGACAGGTTTTTCTTTCAGGTGAAGTACGGCTATCATTGTTGTTGGAACATTAACTTGTTGAAAATGTTATATTTATAATCTGTTGATTGTTACATTGTATACCATATAAGCAGAAATTTTAGCAAGGATTCAGTTTTGTTGAGATCGATAAAATTTGATATTGCTAACAATTCATTTCACATCGGAGGTTATCATTATCTTTCTATGTATCACAAAATCGCTAAAATTACTTTTCGCTAAAATAAAATATCAAATTTTTAGGAAAAATTGCCAAATTTGCATCTCGCTAAAAATTCCACTTATACTGTATATTGATGAGCCAGTTAAAATTAAATGTCTTTTTTTAGATAAAAAATAATTCCATGTTTACCAAGCTCAGGGATTTGGTGAATGAAGCTACAGATCATGTAGAAGAATGCTCGGTAAGGCAGATTCTTTCCGTGTGTAAACCACATTATTTTCATGAACATTTGATCATGTTCAGAGTATACTTACACCTGTCTGATGATAACTGAACTTTTGTAGTTCTGCCAGGGATTTGGTTATATTTGTGAGCTCTGTAGAGATGAAAATGATGTTATCTTTCCATTCCAACTGCATACTGTCACTGTTTGTAAAGGTTAGAAACATTTCCTCTTTAGTATAAGAATTCATACAGTACGAGGGGCATGTGAAAAGTTCTGTTGTATATTGTTTTATGAAATGTTAAGCACTTAAAGGAAGTTGAAGTTTTTGATGTCATTTAAAACATCAGAAAAAGGCTACTCTGGTGTTTGAACCCCAGTCATAATAAAGAGTGACTTCCTAATTTGGCATTCAGTCAGACATTTAATTATACTGCATGAAGTCTAGCTGTTAATCTTCCCTCTGTTTTCAGACTGTTCATCTTGTTTCCACAAGGCATGTTATATAGAAGGAAAGTGTCCAAAGTGTTCAAGGATTGAAGCAAGGTAAAATTGCCTATAGCATTAAAACCAGTGTATGGCATTTCAAGAATCTTTTCTATTTACATTGTTTTAATTTCTGTTGGGAGGCTTTTAGGCTAATATTTTACACAGTCCCAAACTTGTATTCTTTATTTAAAGTCTTGCTGTGTTTTGGGAGGGGGGGCTCTGATTTTGTTTTCCCTTAGTATCTTATTTTTGCCTTCTACGAGGGCTGTCCAGTAAAATTATGGACAAAAAGTCTAGAGCGAAAAATAATCAACACTGCTTTCTAAAATTTCCCTACTCCTTAATACATTTTCCATCAATATACATAACAAATTTCAAAGAGTTATATGCTCAAAAATAACAAAATATGGGATTTTATGTGTGGTATTGGCTTACGGCACACGGATGATAACGTTAAAATCTCTGAAGCAGCTTCACGTTTCATCTTTGCATAAAAAAGCAGGAAAAGTCCCACTTTAATTCCCGGACTGGCAATTTTACTGATGCACACACTTGAGTTCCCCTTTCTTGCTCCAGAAACAGTCGATGTACTGATCTCACACACACATAGGGCCCTATGAAAACTTGTAAAAATAAGTAATGGAAAGTACTCTCACTTTCACTGCTTATTTATGTGGTCATTTTTCAATGATCTGCAATGATAGCATTTTTCATCATTGCCAAAAGCTCATTTTTTGTATGTTTTGATCTACCAGGGGACTCGATCAAAAAGCTTCCGTTAAAAATAAAATGCACATTCCACTTGTGTTCTAAAGTATTAGGGCGTCATTTCTCAATCAGTATATAATTGAACTGCTCTCCCGTGGCCATAATGTCATCAAACATTGCCATTTTTCTGGTGCTGCGTTTACACTTTCCCATTTCAAAGTCTTGGAAAACTGCAAAAAATTAAGCAAATCCCTTGAAGATTTCTAAATGATGACATAATAGATTGGGAATAAAAAATAATTTTATTTTTACCCCAGCCTGATCTATATTTAAAACTTTCATTTCGAAATAATACTGGAATATTCTCAGAAAAAAAAAAACCCTGATTTTTTGGTCGTGCGCGGTAGGGCAATACCCTGTGCAAATTCAAGTATAATAAAATCCTGGGGCCCGTTTTACAAAAGAACTTGAGACTAAGACCAAAAACTTAAGTTGATTGAAAAATTTGGCAAATTAATTATTCTGTTTAAAATTACTATTGTAAACATATCTTACTACATTCCTTTTAAAAAGATAAAATCCATTGTCAATATAATGTTAATTAGAAAGTTATATATGCATGAAAATTAAATTTTGGTTTTAGTCGTAAGTTCTGTTGTAAAACGGGCCCCTTATTTTTAAATATGATTTATCAAGAATACAAAGATGTTCTTAAATATGATAAATAAGCATTGCTGAAAGTTTCAGCTCAGTGCATGCATTATATTTTGATAAAAATGCGATATCCAAGATTTTGCAGGACAACCCTTGTATTGTGAGCAGGGTAGCTTACAGTACATGTACCTGACAAAATAAATGTACATTTAAGCTAGAGTAAAGAATTTCCACAAAATTTGTACTAGGATCTGATTTTTGCCAATATTTTGCTGGAATTAAAGTATAAAATGATGGGGTTTTTTTTTTGGGGGGGGGGGGGGGGGGTTGAGAGAAAAATTCAGAAATTAAACTCAGGTTGAACAAGTTCTAAGTAAATGTTGATATGAATAAAGTGTTAGTAGATAGCACTTATTTATCAGTTATTAATGCTAAGGGCTAAGTCACACCTTACCAGATGGTGCTGACAGGTGTCAAATGGATAAAAAAAAAAAGTGCAGCAGAATGGAATTCATTGGTAATACTAGACTAGTATGTTGATGAACATCCCTCTACTCTGCAATTCAAGGCTCTTGCCATCAATGTATGAAGCTTATAAAGTGGACAAAAGCTGTGCAATTAACAGCCATTTACTGTGCAAGCTACAGTCAACTAACAGATTCCACTGTATCAGTCATGAATGAGTACCAAGAACAATGAATTTGCAATGCATGAGATACTGACGAAAAGGTTTTCCAATGTTAGACTGATGGTCGTCTAATTTGGGTATTCAAAGCACGTCCTGTTTATCCATTTTCACAAAATTGCTCATTTGTGACACATGTTCAATGGATAAGCAGACCAGTCAAGTACAGGAAAAGAAGCACACAAGTTAGGTGAAAGGCATGCAAAGGCATACCTCATGTACTTAAATGAACCTACCGTACTTGAAGCAGACACCTTAATTAGTCCAGTGATTAATGTTTTCCAAGTTTTGAACCTACCATAAATAAAATTTCACCATACTTTTCGGACTTTCAACAAATTTGCAGAATGAGAAATGGAAAGACACATATGGGAATACATTGCAAATTTTGCCATCATTTTACATCTGTTAGAGCTACAAAATGTATCCGTTAAAGTGTGACTGAGCCCTAATATATGATTGTATATTCAGATAAAATTTTAAGGTGCTTGGCTATATTTTGTAGGAGAAGACAATTGCAAGAAACTGAAGCACTGGATTCATCTGGCGAAAGTGACACCTGAATGTATAGAACAAATTCTTTATGGAGTTGTGCAATGATTGTGATATTATTTATTGACTGTAGATTGTTAATATTATTCAGTGAAACCTTTCGTATTCTGTTAAGCTATTAAATAAATGTTTGATTTTTAAGTAATTTTGTACATAAAAAATCATACAAATAAGTGTGTACAAGTATGATCTACAATGCTTACATGTATGTTTGAAATGTGCCATTTTGTCATTAAATCAATTTATAAATTTTATTGTCCATGAAAAGATGGAGCTTATGTTTAGCTCTTATTGTAGGACAAATTATTATATAATATTGTTCATTATCAGTGCTGTTGCAGTTTGATAATGTATTATAATTGAAAAAACAACATGGCAAATTTTGCATTAAAAAGAATAATTTAAAAAATCAAATTTGCATGCAAATTTATATCAATTAAAAATAGTAGCTATTACATGTATATATATTAAGATAATATATAATTGAATAAATTTTATATATTTATTTATTTATTTTTTTTGTAAACCATCAACCACTTGCTCTTCAAAACAAAAACTGCAACATTCTTCATTAAAATCAGAAACTATGTACCAACTAGAAATCAGTCAAAAACAAAAATGTACGGGCTGAATTTTTTAAAACAATTTGTCATGTTACTCTATTTTATCAACCATGAAAACAATGTTCATTGAAGTTAAAAATGAATAAAAAGAATTGTGCATCTTAATGTTTTCTACATGTGTACCAAGTTGTATTGAAATTTGATCAAAACTGAACGCAGGGTAGCATTTAGACAGAATTTCCTTCATTTGATAATTCTAATTTAAGTTATGCCATCACCACTGAAATCAAAAATTGATGCACAAAATTATGTACACTTAAGCTCACCTCAAGGAAGTTAGGGAGAGCTTATGTGATACTGTACTTTACCATTAAAGTTTTTGGAGGAGTTTTCTTTAAATATAAAAACTACCTGCCTTATACTCAGTATTTATCAGAGTTACATGGTTGATGCATCTAATACTGATGGTGTTGACTGTACCAGTCATGTTCAAGATGCAGCAGTTTCAGCCAACACTTTCCAAAAGAATGGCCAGGAGCAGGTTAATGCTTTTGGAACAGGTTGTATTTACTTGGAACTCTTATATGGGAGCTATACATCTACAGTTTTTTCATTTAATATAAACTTATGATAAAAGTTTCTGATATCATAAACTCATATCAGGCAAAAATTGACAGCTAGGTTTCATGGTTACCATGGCAACATGCACCAAAGTCTAAAAAATAGCATTTTGAACATATTCAGTCCCGTTTAAAGGAAATTAATTCTTCTTCATTAACCTTTATAAACTTGTTTTCCAAATTCTGGGCCGTAGTTAAGATTTTTAAAAAAAAATTTCGTTTTTGATTTTATTTCTGTTTGCTTTCCCCTCCCCACTTTTTCTAACATTAATAATCCCCTCTTTGCACTTTCCCTTTGTGGTCCCTTTGTGGCGAGCCACATAAGGGGGGGGGGGGCAGTCCACTGCCAGGATGCATGGTAGCTGCTACGGCGACAGGGTAAGAAACTTCCTGCAATTGTTGCGCATTTGGATTTCTGATTTTCATTCTCACTTGATGCAAGTGGAATACTCCTTTGACCTCTTAATTTTCTGTGTTTGGCAAGAGATCAGACTGCTAGGCAGATGAAGAGTACGGATAAGAGGGGTGCACTCCTTGCTCTCTCTCTCTCTCTCTCTCTGATGTAAAGAAGCACCAGTACTCCTTTTGATGTACTTCTGTCTTACCAGAAGCAAGGTTTCCCCAAACTACTACTACCAATCTTGGAAGATGCAGTAAGGCTAGGCTCGTCTTCTTGCACACTCAATATTTTTGAGTTGCTTTCATATGATCTAGACTACTTGCAACTTTGACCGCCTGTCTTTTTAGTCCAGTCAATTTAGCAAAGGTATGGACCCAACGTCAAACAAATTGCATCATAAATTATTTCATCATAAATTAAATCTAAAATGTACAAAACATTTGCAGTAAAAAAATCTTAAGAAAATCTTATGAGGGGAAAGTATAATTTGGCATGATTTAATTAGCTATGGGAATTACTATAGAAAAGGGGCAAAACTCTGCAAATCCATCCAATGTTTTGCGGATGTGATTACATTATAAAAGAAATTCTTTTCTTTTTTTCATTAAAGCGTAATCTGATTTAAACCTTTCTGATACAATTTAATTGATCATTATTTCGCATAGATCATATAATTTGAAACGGGTACTGTGAATTTAATTTCATATATTTTTTGATTTTTTTTTTAAATATTAGCATTTTTAAAAGATAGTGAATATAGAGTTTAAAAAAGAAAAAAAAATGAATAAATTACCCCTAAATTAAGATTTAGTATGCATTGATCATTTCATTTAGTACATAAACATGATAAATACTAAATATAACCGTAAAAAGAATACCCATAAAGAATAAGAGACGAATATTTTGATCTATGTTTTGATAACCACTGCCCTAAAATTTATAATTATGAGGCGAAGAAATGCAACATACACTTTGAAATGAGCCTAAACATCCTTAAAATTTATAAAATAAATAAATATAAAATTGGGTATAGAGGGTTTTACTTCATCTATAAATGTCATTATACACAGTTTAATTCACCTCCTCTTTATTCAAGTCGAAAAATGCACCAAAATTTTATATTGACAAGAGTTATGCTTCTTTCCTATAGTAATTTTCACAGAAAATATATGAGCCCCAAATAATAATTTTCCTTCATCCGATTTTGTTAGATTTTGTTACATTTACTTGGTGCATTCTAGAGTTTATAACAAAAGGTATTGTGTTGCAATTGGTCATCGTCGGAAACCCACGGCTGATTACGCTTCGTGATGGAGAGAGGAACGAAGCGTAATCAGCCGTGTGTTTCCGACGATGCAATTGGTTTGACGTTTCATGATAAATTGATTGGACTATTTAATTGACAGAATAAAGAGCAGAAGATCCCATTAAAAGGAACCGAACATGGAGCCATTTCAGCAGCCAGGAAGCTAGGATGGAAATGTATTAAAAAGCAGAAATAAGACGAGTCATATTGTTTCTTTTTTGATTGTATTTTTCTTTTTTCTACCCCCTTTCCCTATTTAATTACTAATACCTCCTTCAGACTTTCCCTTTGTAATTGTTTGTTTTGCATTTCCTCAGCTTTTCGCAAATTCTACGGTCGTTATAATGTCCTTGTTTTAAAAATAAAAATGATATTTGGTGGAAGTAGATTTTTTTTTGACAATTTAGTGTATACTTGATTTTGTGCGTTCTGAATTTGCTTATACTAGTATACACAAGACATTTAACAACATACACTGTACTTAATTTAGTGGAAGTTGCTCTCCGCGAAAGGCGTTAAATAGAATCCACTACCAAATATTAATATATGTTTTAGTATTAGTAATAGATATATTTAACAATTCTAACTGTTTTGTGGTGTTTTGTAATTTATACCATGATTTGGGTTTCCCGACCCCAGGTTTAAAGCTGAACTCTTAAATATGCGTTATTTTCATCCTTGTACGACATATTACATTCCTGTACGCCCCTTTCCACCATATTTCTTTCTTATACCCATCTTGTTCAACCGGCTATATAAATGACCCTGGCTGTCGGCATGTACTCATCTCCGATAGCAAAGTTTTGGACACACCAAACTGACCTAAAACATGTTTTAGACATAAATTTCAACCAAAACTAGGACTAGTAAGAAGTAAATAATAAATTTTGAATATTTAAGATGCAATGTAGAAAAAAATCAAAACGGAACATGCAAGTTTGATGCTCCTAAATATTCGAAAATAAACAGGAAAAGATTACGACATGCATCTTTTCCAGTTACTCTGTATGTACTGTTAGAGCTCTTTACATGATACACGGTACTTGCACATATTATGTATTCATGTGCAATAAATTCTGATACACGGTATATGCACATATTATGCACTCATGTGCAATAAATTCAGATATACGTGCATGCATTCTGAGAAAACGCTTCGAACGCTGTAAACTCATCTACCTGAAATACTGCTAAGGGTACAGGGATGTGTACATGTCGAGAATTAAATCCTATTTTCCATTTATTGAAATATGCATCAAAGAAGTAATTAATTCCATTAATTGTAACTGAACGGAACACACATTTTCTTTATAGCACTTGGACACAAGCCAGTTTCTGACATTACACATCCAAAATGCAAGATAATTATGTTGACATGCGACTTATTTATGTCAACAAGTGATATAATTGTGTACAGATGGGACTTAATTTATTCAAAATGCGAGATGATTTTGTTGGCATGCAAATAATTATATAGACATGTTAAATTGTATGACAAATGAGATGACTTCAACTTTTCAATCGTCAACTTTCCTTATATACATGTATGTAGTAATATCCCGTTATCACCTGCTTATGGTGTTTACATCTCCCATCTTATCCGAGACTCAAGAGCATGCTCCGAGTACGATCAATTTTTCAAACCGAGACAGGTTACTGACAGATAAGTTGATGTTACAAGGATTTCAACAACCTCGTTTAAAGTCAGCATTTCGTAAATTTTATGGTCCTTATAATGACCTTGTAAGCAAATATAACCTATCATTGGGTCGTATTTTGGCTTACCTGTTTCATACCAATTGTTAGGCCTTTGCTTTTACACTTTTGGCTACGGAATGTTCCGTCTACCTGATCAAAACAGGGCTCATGGCGGGTGTGACCGGTCAACAGAGGATGCTTACTCCTCCTAGGCACATGATACTATCTATGGAATTTCAGGGGTCTATGTTTTATGCCCTCTTCATAGAATTATATTCCTTTATATAGATTTTTTGAGATCGATCACTGTTCGTTATCTTCACGTTTTTTTCATAATGTCATCATGTGATATAATTATATACACATGGGACTTATTATGTTAACCTGCGAGATAATTATGTTGACATGCGAGTTAATTATCTCAACACGCGAGATATTTATGTTGACATGCGAAATATTATCGTGCATGTTGACATTGATAAGATGCATATCAACACAATTATCGTGCATGATGACATCAGTTCATTTATTTTGCATGTTAACATATAACTCGCATGATGGTCTTAACTTTCGCACAAGAACATATCTTAAAAATATAAAATTTCTTTTAGCACGATGAGCATCTATGACAGTTATGATAAAGTGCGGGTATAAAATATACTTACAGTGTATCAACAAATATCTGTAATAAATGAAACGACTGCTTAACTTAACCTCAAGAAATAAAGAACTCCACAAAAAAGCACATGTGTATTAATATTTATTTACTTCAAGCATACAAAATAAAACGAAAGTTGTTGTTTATGCATACGATATGATCTATGGAATAATTATAGCAGGAAGAATTAGAGCAGGACTATCTAAATCACAGACCAAAGCTTTTGCATCTGTCGCCGAAACTGAAAGAATTATTCATTATGTAAAAACGTGCAATTCAGAAATTTATGACCAAACATTTCTTTAATACATAATCGAATGAAAATTATTTCTAGATTTGAAGAAAAGAAACTTGTTTAAAAAAATATATTAAAAAGGTTTTTAAATACTATATATCTTACTGTATTCTTTCGATGGTTGTAGTATGATCGGTCCTGATTCGCCGCACCATCCAGTACAGATAAACGAGATCTGAGCGCCATCTGTCGATCGATTAATATTTTCTATTTTCGCCCACCAGCCACTTATTACACCCCATGTTATCTGTGGATACATTAATTTATATATTATCTGTGGATATATTAATTTATATATTATCTGTGGATACATTCATTTATAAGTTTTCTGTGGATATATTCATTTATATATTATCTGTGGATATATTAATTTATATATTTTCTGTGGATACATTCATTTATAAGTTATCTGTGGACACAGTAATTTATATGTTATCTGTGGATACATAAAATATATTATCTGTGGATACAGTAATTAATATCTTATCTGTGGATACATGAATTTATACTTATCTATGGATATATTAATTTATATCTTATCTGTAGATACAGTAATTTGTATGTTATCTCTTGATACTGTAATTTATATGTTATCTGTGGATACATTAATTTATATGTTATCTGTGGATACATTTATTTATATGTTATCTGTGGATACAGTAATTTATATGTTATCTGTGGATACAGTAATTTATATGTTATCCGTGGATTCTATTTTATATTTGTTATATAATACAGGATTTTGCATCCCTAATATGAACACAGGCACGTGCCCTGTAATACACACCCTGTATCAGCATCCTTTATTTCACCCTTTATCACACCCTTTATTTCACCTTTCCGGAACATCTCTGTATTTTTCATTCGAAGTTCCTCGGATTTTTTTTTTAATTTGTTTATTTTATTTAAGTTTATTTAAAATGTAATTTATTTCATCATATATTTATGTTATTCAAAATAATCATTTAATTTATAATTATCGCTGAATGCATTTCTTTGGGAAAAAAATTATACAAACGGAACACACTCAACTATTAAAAATTCAGTAATTAATTTTAAGTTTATATATGATTTTTAAACACTTATTTTCAAAGATATAATAAAAATATACATAACCAAATCTGTATCACATCTTTGGCCCCCGGGCTGATATTGAAGTCTCCGGTTGATATGGCGTGTGATACAGATTTTGCCATGTATTACTCTCAATTAATTTATATGTCATCTGTGGATATATTAATTTATATGTTATATGTGGATACAGTAATTTATATGTTATCTGTGGGTACAATAATTTAAATTGTTATCTGTGCATACATGTATATTACATGTAATTTATATGTTTTCTGTGGATACGTGGATACAGTATTTTATGAGTTAGCTGTGGATACATTGGTTTAAATGCCATCTGTGGATACATTTATAAACATAATATCATTAAGATGCATTAATTTATATTTATGTTATCTGTGGATATATCAATTTACGAGATGCTATCTGTGGACACATTTATTATTACGGTACCTTTGGATATATTAATTAACTTGATAACAATTCTGTGGATACATTTATGGACATGTTATCTGTGGATACATTAATTAACATAATATATGTGGTTAAACAAATTAACTTGATATATGTAGATACATTCTTTAATAGTGTGACCAAATATTTCAATATACGTTGTATTCTATTTAGGCGAGTATCGAACTCACTTTTGTAAACTTATTTTTTATTCGATTATTTGAATTAAGTCGGTGAGATTCTAACATTTTGTAAAGGCTTTTGTCGAACACTCTTATGTAATCTTATACCTGACTGGTGTATTTTTTAAATCAACTCAATCCAGTTGCACAGTAGATCTGGGTATAAATACACAGGTTCGATTAGAATTACTTGTCCCGTCAGCCAATTTCAAAGTCACACCTCGTGGTCGTGCTGTCCATATGGGTATTTGTTTTTGTAATACTTTTCTCTTTCATAACTTATAATGTTGTTATTTATTTTGTAGCTATTTGACGTTATATTTTGTCTAATGGGTAGAATATATAATATGTGTATTTTTTTCTAGACACAATTCAGTCATTCTACAAAAACATGACCAGTTAAGAATTTTTTATGTCGCTTACAAATTTACCGTTGTAATATCTTAACTATAAATTCAAAGGTCGATTTCAACTATAAGACTTAACATATACACATGGTTTTGTAAATATTCTCCGATATATATGCAGTTCAAGTTTTGATATGAACGTAATGTTGAAAAACGTATTCCACTGCAAATCGTAATGTCGCTTCATTTATTTACAAATTTCAAGATGAAATTTTCAGTCGTAAAATCGTTCCGAATAGATTGCAATGAATGTTAAAAAATGTCTTTTATCCTATATAAAAAGAAATCAAACCACTTCTCGCAAAGGAATGCATGGATCTCCTTTCATGCGAATTCATAAGCATGTCGCTTAAAATCGATTAACTTCCGTAACGACTTTGTTTTAAATTTCACGCATAGAATGCAGATTGCAAAAAGAACTGAAACCTATCTGAAAGTGACCACGGAACCTTATATCATCGATTCTAGTTGCGAGTTAACTTTTTTAGACGATAACATTTTCGACATAACAAAATGAATTAGACAAAAACAGTTGTCTCTCTTAAAAATTTAACTTCCGTAACGGTAATTCAGAAAAGTTTTTGAATTAAAGGTATAATTTCTTTTATTATTTTGGGAGCGAAGTGCTTCATACTTTTGTTTAATATCCTAAAACAAACTTTGATTTTAACTATTGAAGAGAATTTTAACTTTTATTGCTGGGAATTAACTTCCGTAACGATTAAAATTCCGTAACAATATTTTCCCCGAAAATTTAATTTAAATTCGGATTCATGCGAAACTTCATGAATCATACTTTAGCGTTCTTTACTGAACATCAGAAACGAAAAATTGGTCATATTCAGCTAATTATTTAAAATATAATGGCTTGATCAAGCATTAAATTCCGTAACATTACCTTAAAATCAATGGTATCTTGAAATTGTGTTGTAAAAAGTTAGATACCAGATTTGTGGACAATTCCTTGTTTTCAAGTTCACTGATATGTCCTTTAGAGAATTATGATGTTCATTTTGCTATTTGAAACAATTATTTTTTTTCATGTTTTTTACTCTGAATTGGTCCATTTATCGTAGAATGACTGAATTGTCATTGTCGTTATTTGTTTGCTGTTAAAATAAAGAAATCAACGTGAACCTAGCTGCGTTGTTCTTCTGCTCGGTTACAATAGGTTAACTATAGATTGATTCATTAAAATGATTTCTGTGGATACATTAATTTAATTATATCTGTGTATATGCCTTAAATGGTTTAATTTACGCGGTATCTGTGGACACATTAATACACATGACATCTGTGGATACTTTTATAACATTGATTTTTTTTTTTTGGAAATATGTAGTCTCATAACTGCAATGGTGTATGCAAGAAATATGTTTTCCTCCTCTGTTTTTTTGTCTGTTTAACGTTCCTTTCGAGAATGTTTCACTCATATTGCCAGTGAAGGGCTGCAAATTTAGACCTATACTCGGCACTCATGTAGGGCCGTTGAGCAGTGAGGGATCTTTTTCGTGCCAGCACCTGCTGCGACACGGGACCTCGGTTTATACGCTCTCATCCAAAGGACCGGTCTCCACATCCCACAATGGGATTCGAACCCCGCGACGTAAAAGATAAACTCCTTACTTCGCGACTCTAGAGCAAAAGTTCTAACCACTGCGCCACGCGGGCGACCACTCTGACGCAGTTATGAGACTACAAAAAATAATAATTCAATGCTTTTATTTAATTTTTTAAACTCATGCCTTGCCTGCAAATATGATTTCTATTTCAAAATCCCTGTATTATCATTTGGATAAATTATAATTAATGGAAGAGTCATTCCAACAGCTACTACCGTTACACTCTTCAATGTGAGCTTGAATTTTGATTTTCGCTCACAATGTTGCACTTGAATGGCGTTTTGCTTTTGTGACGTCAAAATAAATAAAACAAAATAAAAATCATAAAACTTTGAACACCTCGTCCGTGTAATGGTGTTTTGAATGCCAAAGCTTTCCATATACTTTATAAACAAAATACATGTAGAATGTAAATGTATAACTTAACATGACATATTTACGGATACATTCATGAACGTGATATACCGGTATTTGGATAAATTAGTGGACATGATATTTGAAGGCACATTACTTGACATGTTATGTGTGGACAGATTTATTGACATTATATGCCTTTGTGGATGCATTAATTAACCTGATATCTGTGGACAAATTAATTTATATGTTATCTATGGATACATTTACGTTAAAATATCATCTACGGATACATTGATAAACACTATGCACATGTATTATACATATGTATGTTTTTATAAACGATTTCCCCAAACATAATAGTTCACAAAATGTACATTTCAAAACAAACATAACACCTTTTTTATTTCTCAACATTGATTAATAGCGAGCGCAGCGAGCGGCGCTAAGCGCCGCTCGTCACTGCGAGCTCTAACGACAACGCCTGGGCGAAGAGAAAATTCGGACTACTGCACATTCATTCAATAGAATTTTTTTCCGCAGTAATTCTGACCCACAATGCATCGCTTCTTGTTCTCGCTGCTAACTTCGTTCACGCGGTGACAACAACTAAATTTCACAAAAAATAAACTCACCTTAATTAATGGCTATTGCATGCAGATAGTAGATTAAACGTTCTTTGTTAAAATATTTGCACTTTTTAAACTTTGTTTATGGAAATGCAGCTAACATACGACGTCATGTGACGTCACAGTCTAGACGTTCCAAATATCTCGTGCGGTTTGAAGAGGCGGATCTTAAAATGAAGTGAACAATGCGCTCGCCCCAACGGTCGCACCGTCAACATATTAACTAAAATAGAAATTGAAAGTAAAACTTACAGTAGGATCTACAATCAACCCTGTTCCTCTTGTGTCAATTACAGCTTCCGAGAAACGTGGACAGGGGTTCCGAAAAGATTCGCCATTGCAGTCAGTGCTTTGTCCATATTCGACCGTGGGAGAACCAGTCAAAGAGGTGAATTGATAATCATTCCCATCGATTTCCATATTCTGAATATAAATTAAGGTATTGTTATATGCATTGACTCTAAAATCATTGAATTTTGAAATAATTTTCAATGTAATTTAGTAGTAAATGTCTCTAATGCCAGACTCAGGAAACTTATTTATACAGAGTTTATAATATATAAACCTGTTGATTAAATAGTCCTTTGTTTATTCAAACAGTTATCTTCATGCATAAATAGGAGAGTTTAATAAGAAACAACGGCAGACAAAAAAAGGATTTCTGTGCCATATTTGGAATACTAAAAATATTTTCCATCTGGGATCTTGCTTTTGCTTACACGCAAATTTATACATATGTACTCGTAGGGCCTACGTATACCTGGATGTTTATTTTGACTTTTGAAAAATGGACCGTTTTTAAGGGTGGTTTGATTGTCGATTGACATTGTATATACTTCAGTTGCCAGTTCGATTGATCGTGTTGAATAAAATAGTTTGTGTTCCTCAAAGTGATGTATTCAGATGGAATGAATTGCATATCGTGGCAATAGATCTTGATTCTTTGTCCGTTTGTTGCTTTGGGATATATCCAGTATTCCCCATCCGTCTTTGCTCCCGAAAAAATAACGAGATCTTGGCAAGACTCGGGAACTGAAAATTAAAGGAAAAAAATAAGCGCCGAATAAAGGATATCAAAAGGAAGGAAAAAAATTTCCCGTAATATTGTGTCTTTGGAAATCAAGTGTTACATATGTAAACAAAAAAAAATGTTACATACATGTATGTAAACAAAGCTTAAATGTACATGTACATATTCAAGCTATGTTTTGTAGGTTACATCGACAAGCTAGGTTGGAAAAACGATTTTAAAATACTGTATACTTGTACTCGTTTATTGGTTTTTCTTTTCTTTAAATCTTATCATTACAAGAAGTTTTGCAAAGGATTTTAATGGAATAGTAGGTAATGGAGGATCCGTGTAATTAAGGTTCATCGATACTCTGATAAGAGAGATAACCCTTAATGGTATGTCTATTATTCCTTTATAAATTTGTCAAGTTGAAGTGTCTTTTTTGTACAATTTTGCCCCGCAAGCTATACTATAATTGTTTGTATTCTACTTAACAAATAATTTCTTTGGGGGAATCATAAGAGTTAAAGAAACATTTTATATGAGTGAGCTGAGTTTATGAATCGATCCCTTCTGCTCCATAAACGTCATATGTAATTTTGGACAATTGTGGTGCTAACAAGTCTTTGCTATGATGATGTCTTCTTATAAAGACGTCATGTCATCATTTTTACATTCTACTAAGAGTTAAGTTTCACCTTTGATGATAATAATATGTTCCTACAGTGTTTGACATTCAGTGACATGAATGACATCACATTTTTTCTTACTCGGTATCTGGTATAATTTTTTGCCTTAGCAATAACCTCAGTATTCTAAATTCTAATTTGTATATCTGTGAATGACAAATGCAAAGAATTTGAAAGACTTGGTATGTAAATAAAAATAAAGTTGATGCTTTTACCCTATTTTCTCTTGTTCTTTAGGATCTACGTTTAAGCAAACTTCATATGATCATAAATGCTATAAAAGGCCTCGTCGCAGTTAATTTCTGAAGATTTGAAATTACCAGAAATACATGTATATTGAGATTAACTTGATTGTAAACAATACTCTCCAATTCCTTAATCGACCGTCAATCATTTTATAGAGCCATCTTATCCAAATGGACATTTTATCGCTTCTTCTACATGTTAATAAAATGAATACTTATCTAGGCCTTATCCAAATTGACATTTTATCGTTTTCTATTACAAGAGTGAAATTTATGTTTCATTCAGACTGCCTTCAGTTCATTTTCAGGTGAGCACACAAATTGTTATCCGCTTTTCAATTATGCCAAATACCACAATAAAGAAATAAATGCAATGGAGTAATTTTACGTTTGTCATTTAAGCTTGGTCAATTTGATTATCTTTCGATTGTAAACCAAGTATTTTCTACAACTGATTATGAAATTTTTTTTTTAAAAGAGTGAAGACATAAAAAAGATGTCAAATATTTTCATATTCTCAAATGATTGTGAAAATGAGCCCATTGAAAAAATTGTCAACCGAGGCTGCGGTGAAAATTTTTAATGCAACCCTCAAGTACATGCAGTATTTATTATAATATTTTTATACGATTTTTTATGTATTTGTTTTATTCGAACCGCAAGCGCATAGATTCCGCGTAGTCAACATTTGGAATGCCACCCGTTGTCAATCAATGTTAACTCACTGTTGCTAAGTTCTATCGCACTGGAAAGTGTAGTTTCATCATTCAAAGGGTAACTGTTTTTTAACAAATGTTTCTCGACGAATCAAATTAAAGTAATTTATATGAAAGTTTAATTTAATCAAATATCCACAGCATATTATATAACTATTGGATGTAGCTGAGGGTAACATTGAAAATCCCTCCCTCCCTCCTCCCCCCCCCCCCCCCAAAAAAAAACATTGTAAACCGAGGCGCAGCCGAGTTTGACATTGGTTTTCTTGGGGTGAGAATTTTCATTGTTACTCACAACTTCATGCAATATTAATGATATTAGCTTACAATTAAAAACATATAGCTTCTTAGGTTTTACATACCCCGACGGTTGTTGCTGCTTTCCAGAGTATAGTACACGACATCTTCAGCACCCACACTCCCATCAGCATTGTAAATCACGTCAAAAAGCTTACAGGACGCCTCAGTAAAATCGTACAATAAAGAAACACAGTTACTTTTGTGCAAACACATAACACTACAGTCAGCTAGGCTAGAAGAGGTTCCAGACCAAACCGAAAACTTTGTCTCATCACGATCTATTGTTATTTTTATCTGCCGAAGGTACATTTCGTCTAAAATAGATTATTGTACTAATACTTGTTAAAAATGGGTTATGTCCTTTTTTCTTTTAACTAAGTTTTTTATTCGTGTAATCATTTATATATTTTAACTTACTTGTTTTTCCATCTGATTTAATCAAGTAAAGATACAATACAAAGAGTATACAAAGTGATGCCAGAGTTCGTCCCATCTCTTAGCTATAAGCTTTGCTTGCAAGGAAATCAAGAACAGATATTTATACTGAAGATAGTTGAATCAATAAATAAGGGTACCTTGTGACGGTACATATTGTCGTTTTGTACATATTGTCGTCGACGACAATATGTACCTACCCTCACTGCACATATTGTCGTCCATCCGTACATATTGTCGCCGACTGAAAAGTTACATATGTACATATTGTCGTTGGCGACATTATGTGCCTCACTGTACATATTGTCGCCCCAAAGATATTGTTGTTTAAAGATGTCTTTTGCTGTTTTTTGGTAGTTTTGTGAATGTAATTGGTGTGAGAATCACACTGACGTGTCTCGTTTGCTATTTCATGCAGCGTGATTGTGACGGTACATTTTGTCGTCCTGTTCATATTGTCGCCGGCGACAATGTGTACCTTCCCTCACTGCGCATATTGTCGTCCGTCAGTGTTATTGTATAATATTACGTTAACTTAATTATTTAATTATGAAATTTTACCTGTAGACTAAGTATATACAAGTTAAACAGAATTTACCAAAGCAAATAAAAAATAATCAAACCACCAAGCGAAGGGGGTTGGGTGGGGGGGGGGGAGGGGGGGTGCTACATCTGCCTTTGGTGTTTGAGAAGATTTTTAAAGATTTTCTGTATATATTCCTATGTAAAACTTTGATCACCCATTGTGGCTCACATTACCCCTGGGGTAATGACTTGAACAATATTGATTTTGTTTTTGTTTGTTTGTTGTAAAAAATGTGTTGAAATTGACCCAGTATTTCTTGAAAAGAAGCTGAAATTATGAATAGTTAACAGACAGACGGACGGTCAGACAAAATTTGATCAGTAAAGCTCACTTGAACTTCCAGTTCAGGTGATCTAAAAATGTTATTTTTTGCGTTATTCTTACATTATTATTAACAATAAATTATATTTATAATGTTATATCGGCACATGACCGTATATAAGAATTATTTCCAAATAATATTACTACTGAACAAAAAAAAAAATACCTGTATTCAATCTCTAAGTATATATTACAAGAAAAAAAGACTTGCTGATTTATCAGATATCTCAAGAATTACGGTATCTTGATATGTCATAGTGATGTACATCAATCCTGAACACAATTTTCTGACCAAAAAGTTTTCTCCCTACAGTATTGCGAGTAATGCTGTCTGTCTCCCTCCGTGCGTGTGTGTGTTTGTCAATTTCCCTTTCTTTTCTCAAGTAAATATTCGTCAAAACAATATATCGACGACAATATATACCGACCTTGACTGTACATATCGTCGCCGACGACAATATGTGCTGGTGCTTGACTGTACATTTTGTCGTCCATTATGCAGGAAGAAAATAAGGCTCGTCTCGGTACATATTGTCGCCGGCGACAATATGTACCGATGGACGACAATATGTACAGTGAGGGTAGGTACATATTGTCGCCGACGACAATATGTACAAAACGGCAATATGTACCGTCACATACCTTCCATAGTGGTATGTATAGGACTAAATTTTGGTTATAAAGTAGGAATTGGATTAGATTTTGTATAAATCTTTTTTTTCTTATTCTTTAGTATTGTAGGTGTATTAGAAGCAATGGAAGCACTCTTTAATGATTGATTGATTGTATATTGTTTTACGTCCAATTCGAGAATTTTTCACTCATATAGAGACGTAAAAAAATGAGCGGCGCATTTGTTAACACGAGATGGTACAAACTACAGACTTTCCTTGGGTTTTCCTTGAAGAGTAATTGTTCCATATGTAGTTTGTGTTAACTGTGGCATTCCGCCTCAGATATTTATTTTTTATTTCCACAATGTATACATATAATAATTAAGTATATATATATATATATATATATATATATATATATATATATATATATATATATATATATATATATTTGGAGGGATGTCTGGCACAAAAATTTGAATAATTATATATGTTTAAATTTTGCAATCTAAATGAAAATACACCTGTCTTCTAAAGCTTTGAGTACTAACTCCATAGTGTCCTCCCATATTTCCCAGAACTTGCAAATGATTTTTTCCCGATGAAATCTTTTAACAATTTTTAAGAGGCCACTTTCCTTGACAGTCATCTGATCATATAGACGATAATGAACAACTAACAACCAAACTGTATGACAAACGAGAGGATTCCATCGTCAACTTTCCTTATTTATGTAGTAATATTCTGCTATCACCTGCATATAGATTTTACCTCTCCCAATTTATTCTGTATGCTCTGATTACGATCACGTTTTAAACAAAGGCAGACTACTGACAGATAAGTTGATGTTTGTTGTACATCCTTATACTTTCACGTATCAAATTTTATCCTGTGTCTGGAAACCTGCTGGATCCGTCTCTGGTCCTCACATAATTATCAATTTTCAATGGTAAATATCATTCATTTAAATGAATTAAAGATTATTACTCGAATTTTTTATGAAATATCTCACAACTGTTGACAGTCATATAGCATGAACTTCATAGGGGTACAAATACGTGCATTTTCAAGCCTACAGTTTTATTTTACGTACATGTATATTTATGTATTCTTAATACATGCGTCTGGTGTTTTTTCCTTTTGTTTGATCTGTTGTATAAAATTACCAATTTTCTGTGGACTGGCCCTGTGAAGAATTTCCTGACTGGTCAGAGTCATGTTCGCTACCCTCTGATTCCGACTCGGAATCCGATGATATTGGTAACTGGCTCAAAGATATAAGGGTGAATTTTCAGACTTAAGTCAATCCCTGGAATTTCACCGTCACTATCCACGGTTTCGCCGAATTCGCCATTTAATGACTTATCTGGTATTATAAATCTACGTAAATATTTAGTGTCATTGCCTTTGATGACGTCATATCCAGGGGCGATATCTCGGTCACTCGTGTCTATAAATAACGATATTTGAACAGGTATTTTGTGTCTATACCTGGTTAAAAAACAAACACAACTATAATTTTTCTATATTTGTTTTTAATGAATGGTAAACAGGATTTTAAAATCTATTTTTACCGTACTTGACCTTTAAGAAAAGTAAGAAATATATGGTGTTATAATAAAATATATTAAAGCAATATGAGCTGCATTTTTAAGAATTTTATTTTGCTGTTAAAATGTGCTGTTATGATAAATTTGTATATAATTAAAACCTTTATGAACAATTAGACTAAAATAAAGTATTAATTTTTTTTTCAGAAAAAGGTTTCTGTACAATGGAGTGTATAGTATTATATAAGAAATCAATATCGTACAGGACGACAATAATGTAATTTTGCTTCAATCAAAACTTCTTAGTAGTTCTTCCATCGCAAATATGAAGAATAGAAGTTTATAAATGTTATTTTTTTCTGTCATTGAAATTGTTAATTACAATTTTGCCACAAAAATTTCCGACATCAAAGATGCAGTTCATATAATCAACAAAATGGAGATAACAAACAGTAATCAAGCTCAAAAGTCAATTGAGGCATTACAGATTGGGAGCAGAGCAAACACGGACCTCTAAAAAACAAATGGGGTGGGATCAGGTGCCATGGAGGACTAAGCCTCCACTGTCTACCAGTCACAACCACCGTGTGCTCATTGTCATGATCGAGCAATTTGAATAATCCGCAGACAATTCGGTGTTTAAATAATGGCCTGACAATTAGTATGAAAAACGTCAGTCAGCATTTGACTTAATGATAGATTGTATTTACTGACAAGGTCATTGTATCGACCATAAAACTTGCAAAATGATGACTTTAGACGAGACTGTTGATATCCTTGCTTCATCAACTTGTTTGTCAATGGCTTGCCTCGTTTTAGAAATTGTTGGTACGTGGAGCATGCTCTTGCGTATCGAATCAACTGGGAGATATAAGCCTCATATGCAGGTGATAAGGGTATATTGCAACATAAATTAATAAAGTTGACGATTGAAAAATTGAAGTCATCACGTTTAGCATCAAGTTTTGTTGTTAGGTTACTATTAGCGTCTTTTTTTTTTTTAGTAAAATAAGATGTGTCAGACACTGGTATCTTTTATTCAAGTTCACTGGGATATATTGAGTGGACATACGAATGGAAATTAACTATTGTTAATTGATAATACGTGTCGAAATATCTAAATGTCGAGTTGAAGGTCACAGCACGTGTCCTCTTCTCATGTATGGTTTTGAATAAATTCTGCTACACATGAATACAAAAATAGGTTTGCTAATAAAGGGGCGCAATTGGTTCATGTACCTATGGAAATTCCTACAGACTGTTGGAAGACCAGATCTCCAAAAAATTACAAAGACTCAAGTATCTTTTTAATACATGTATCTATTTCAGAGTGCTTGTGTGTAAGAAAGCAAAACCAACAAACCAGCGCTTTCAGTTCATATTTAATGATGAGTGTAGTTAAAACGTAAATAATAGCAATAACAGCAAATGTAAGTAAACGAGCTTAAGGACATACGCAACGTAGTTTGAACTTTATTGCCTTTTTCACTGGAGTTGAAGAGTTCCAATACTTAAAGGAACTGTGTGCTACATTTTAATATCTATATATGCTGTTGTACACTTCTTCTAAAACAAGTTTAGATAAACAAAACATCTAGAATATATGTTTCGTAATTTTTGTATATTTTTCTTTGAATTATACAAGAATTTTCATCAATCGATATCTTTTCAAATCCCCTGGTAATGCATGCTGATATTTTGTCTACGAACATCTGATGGGACTATAATCTTAAATTAAGAATATCTTGAAAAATTATCAGTGGGTAAGGTACGTTGCGTGTCCTAAAGCCCATGTTTACAAACACAGGTATTTGGTGTAAGGTTGTAAAAAATGCCGTTGTCATTGAAAATTAAGACTTAATTTTTCAAATCATTTACCTGCAGTTATCTCGAAAATAAATAGATAAAATCAAAATTGTAACTGAAACGACAATGGAAGTGTACATGTGTCTAGGCCCCTCTTATACTAAAAAACCAGGAAGGTAAGAATTTAAGTGAAATAATTGTGTAAAAATAAAATTAAATTCCATTTGCATGTAAAACTTGCCTCGAAAAAGAATGAATGGTGCAGGCTTCATCGGCGAGGGAACAAGATAAAACATTCTGTTTATATTTATTTCAAAAAGCTATAATAGGTGTAAGTTTAACATGAAAAGTAAAAAAATATTTGTAAATTTTTAAATGAAATGTAGGAAAAGCATTAAAATTTATAGACTTTTCTATATTAAATACGTTACTTTGAGATTAAACTGATTTTAGGGATAGAGAGATAGGTTAGTTATGGCAGATCAATGCTTGTGCATCCGCAGCTGATACTGAAAAAAAGAATAAAAAACAGTTATTATAAATCGCTCTGACCAATGAATTAAAAAAATCAAATATCCACGTGAATTCTTCGGTAATCTTGTATGATAACTATATAACGACATAGAGATTGAATTCCATACTTAACATGCTTAAGCTAAAGACTTCAATATAATTTGTATACTGAATACAAGGTTATTTTCACCCTTTCAAACTTGCAAACAATTTTGGGCCATTTTAAATTCGCCCAGTCAGTGTTTAAGAAATTAAACTGTGTTCTTTGATTTCGCTCCGTTTTAAATTCGCCCACCTGAGAGTAGGGGGAAAGGGGCGAAAATAAAACGAGGGCAAAATTTTCCCTGTATACAGTATACATAAATATTGATATACGAAAAATGGCTCACTGAATTCGTTTGATACTTGAAATACAACGGGCCCTGGTTTTGGTCCACATGTAGAACACCACCCTGAACAGGTAAAAGATATCTCGGAATCATCTGTTGATTTTTGAAAATATCTCATCTCTGGGTAACTGCCATCAATAACTCCCCAGGTCAGCTGAAAATACGGACATCGATTATCATACATAACGTTTGAAATTACATAAATGTAAAGTAAAGGAATTTCTGTATCTGAATCCATATTTACAGAGAGCTTGATGCACATAAGTAATTTATTTCCGATTTTTTATAATTAGAAAACAACAGTTGGCACTCTTGTAACAAGAAGCATTTGTGCCATGTTGGATGTCGTTTCAAAATTCTGGACAACAAATTCTTTAAACCTGACATGAAGTTGATAAAATATTTTTTCGTAAAGTCTTGAAATTTTTACCTCTTATTTTATTCTTCCATTATCATCACGGTGTTTTACTCAATATATTTGTAAAAAAAAATAATTCCTGATAAAGATATAAACAACACATGTTTTGACGTGTAATATATAAAAATCCGAATTCTTAACAAGAATGACATGTATATCGTTTACAGGAAACATTGTCTTAAAGAACAGACTTATAAAAAATATCAAAATTGCTTTTGCGGACAAAAATCCAAGTTTTGCACAGATCTTTGCTTATATTATCTTTCATCTTCTATTGAAGAGTCGCGAAGTAAGGAGTTGATCCTTACGTCGCATGTTCGAATCCCACTGTGGGACGTGGAGACCGGTCCTTCGGATGAGACCGTATAAACCGAGGTCCCGTCTCGCAGTAGGTGCTGGCATGAAAAAGACCCCTCACTGCTCAATGGCCGTAAGTGCCGAGCATAGGACAAAATTTGCAGCTCTCCACCAGCAAGTGGTGGTGTCTCCATATTAGTGAAAAATTCTCGAGAGGGACGTTAAGCAACATACAATCAATCAATCTATTGAAGATACTGATTTGATCATCAGCAATGTATTTGAAGTTAAGGCGAGGATTTTTTCACATATATCGGGGCTAAATATAGAAATAGGCTATGCCTTTTGCGGAATCCAATTCACTTTTTGTGAATAAAATTATGCATAAATATATCGAACACGAAATAAAAAAAATAACAATACTTGCAGAATAATTTCAAGGAAATGATGTTTACATTTAACAAAGTTCTTGAAAAAAACCCACGTTAGCCATAATTGTACTGTGGGGAAGAAATAAATATAGAGACCTTGACTTTTCACTTTGTTTACTGTTACGTGAGATTTTAATAAGAAAACATTTAAACAATTCAAGTTATTTCTTTTTTATAATTTGAATTTATATTACTTTGTTAGGTTGTTTGAAAGGAAACATGGAGATAAAGAACAGTATTCAAGCTCAAAGTCCATTTAAACAATACAAAAGGTGAGCAGAGCAAACACGGACCTCCAAAAACATCAGAGGTGGGATCAGGTGCCATGGAGGAGTGAACATCCCCCGCTGACTGGTCACACCCGCCATGTGCTCCTTGTCATGAAACGGGGAAAAACGGAAAAATCCGTAGACAATTCAGTGTGTAAATAAAGGCCTAGCAATTAGAATGAAAAACGTCAGTCAGCATTTGACTTAACGATGGATTATTTTTGCTGACAATATCATTGTGTCGACCATAGAACTTGCGGAATGATGACTTCAAACGAGACTGTTGATAACCTTGTTTCATAAACTTGTTTGTCTTTTGTCAAAAGCTTGCTCGTATTAGAAATTGTTCATACGTAGAGCATGCTCTTGCGTATCGAATTAACTGGGAGACAAAAACCCCATATGCAGGTGACAAGGGTATATTACCACATAAGTAGGGGAGTTGACGATTGAAAAAATTGAAGTAATCACGTTTATCATAAAGCTTTGTTGTTAGGTTACCATTATAGTCTTTTTCTAGTAAAATATCCAAATATAAAACAGATGTATCAGACTTTATGGTATCTTTTATTTCAAGCTTACTGGGATATCTCGAGTCGACAATATTTATTGATAATACGTCGCCGATATATCTAAATGTCGAGTTGAAGACACAACAAATGTTTTCTTCTTCTCATGTAGAAGATTTTGACTAAATTATGCTTCATATGAATACAAAAATAGGTATGCTAATAAGGGGGAGCAATTGGTACAAATGGGAATTCCAACAGCTTGCTGGAAGACCTGATCTCCAAACACTACATAGATATTGTCATATAGAGACAAGCATCTTTTTAATATCAACTTCAGAGTACTTTTTTGTACAATCAGAATGTTTTTTATAATAATTTTGAAAACAAAATCTTACAGAGGGATCAATAACCAGTCCGGTTCCTTTAGTATTGATGGTTGCACTTGCGAAGTGTGGACAGGGGCTCCGAAAGGATTCACCATTGCAGTCTCTTATCCTCCCGTATGATATCGTAGGCGTGCCAGTTAACAATGCAAAAGAGTAGTCCATCCCATTCACTTCCATATTCTATGTAAAAAGAAAATGTGTACTTAATTGATTTTCACTGGTACATGTAAAATGTATACCATAAAATATCTGCGGATTTGAGGACTGTTGTAAAGCCAAAGTTTGCAGAGTTGTACAATTCAGATTGTTTTAATAGTTTTATTTTTTGATTTTAAAGGAAATACTCACTGTCATATATTCCTTATACATCGGAACTTTTAAAAGTTTTTTTTTTTTAATTTAAGAATTTAGTTATGAATATGTTGTGCGACAATTATCAGTGGCGGCAGCAGACCATTATTTTCTTCATGTACCTGAATTTGTATTCCAACTTTCTGGAAATCTACCCTCTTCAAAGGTGGTATGTAACTAGACTGACACTGCTGCCACATGATTGGCCAGTTTGATTGATCGTGGTCAATGAAGGAATTTGGGTTCTTCAAAGTTATGTATTCATTTGGATTAGATGCCATGTTGTTACAATATATCTTCACTCTTTTTCTGTTCGTTGCTTGAGGATATATCCAGTACTCGCCATCTGTCGTTGTTCCTGAGCAAGTGGCGACATCTTTACAAGACTCTGGTACTGCAGCAGGGAAATAAGAAATATGGTATTAACTTACAAAATTTAATCTAACTTGATGTTAAAAGCTATAAAAAAGACATTTTTCAAAAAAAAAGTTTTCTAACATTTTTCTGCCAATTGAAATTAAGACATTTATCGGATACAGGAATATCATAACTATTACTAAAAATGTAAAACATAATGATCAAGGTTAGGTTATATTAAGATACCAATATGCATAAATGTATAATGTCTTTGAGGTGAAATGCCACTTTTTGATTAGGTCTATGATATGTACATAAAAATCTGAAAACATGAAATATTCCATGTTTCTTTTTAATTCTCTACTTTAAGGGGAGAGAGCAAGTAAAACTGACATTAGTACTGCGGATTATTTCCCCTAAGCAGTATTTGTTCACGATTTAAAACAAACAAAATTTGCTCAGTTATATTAAGTTACTAAGTGCCTTTTCTTGCTCCCTAAAAATCACCTTTGTATAATGCTGCAAACATTCTGTTTTGAGGTGATTTATTTTCTTCATGAGGTGTAAAATATTCATCGAAACTAAGGGGTATTTTGAGGGTTGTAATTATCGTAATGACCTAACAAACACAACAATAATTGTTTATAATATGATTCAATGATTGAATAATACAAACTCTTAAGCAAACGTCACCATCCTTCATGGTTGTTTACGTCTATAGCAGTTCTAGTCGTATGCAGAGAGAGAGAGACGCAGGATTTTATCGGAGAACAAGAATGATCATTACCAAAATATCAAACTGGAAGTCCCCAGGTTTTTTTGTCCAATATAGAAAGAATTTTCGAGAATATTGTGGACAAGCCGATTTCATCCAATCACAAAGATAGGAATTTTCTCATATAATAAATTATTTCATTTACTGTGAATTAGTCTGAATTAAAGTCAGAATAATAATATCTTATACATGATTTCTCCCTTTAAATGAATAAATATAATTAAATGTAAATAGTTTATATTGCAAAAATTAAATAATCTTAACTTTTGCAGTTTACGGGTTTTATCATACCCTTTAAAGAATATGTTCTCAGAACTTAAAAATACATTTGTATTTTAATTTAGTTTTGTAAGAATAAAAATAAATTCCCAAGTGTATGCCCGTCATTAGTTTTGTCAACTAAAATAAACAAAAGTATACATAAACAGTTACTTTTTATTTTCATATGATTTAATGATCCATAACTCTCTGATTGGTTTAGTTCCAACATTGTAGAAATCTTTCTACGTTACATTCACCTGCACAAGACCTTCAAGTGAACATTTATATTTTTTTCCACGTTGGACCAAAATTTGACCTAGAACTTCTAAATTGAAACATGTGTGGTCATGAAACCGCAACCGACTTTCAAATGAAGATTTTATTTACTTTTTCTACATCACACCAGAAATAGGTGAAGAAATTCTGAAATAATACAACTGGTTGTTTATTTCATCTGGCTTTTATCAGTTCGTTTTTTAGGCATTCAACAAATGTAAACAATCAGGAAAGATGGAAGATTTGCTTACCGAGTTTTATCATTTAATTATATAACAAAAAACAACAATAATTGTATAATGTTGTTTGGATTAATATTCAAAATAAAAGTATTAACATTTATTTCTTTCTAAAAACACATTTCATAAATGACCATAAATGTGGTTCAACTAGGGTACACGGAAAAATAGATCCGTAAAACTGATTCAAATTTAAAACAAGGAAAGAAATAATTCCCTTTATAACACAAAAAGTGAGTGTTTTGCCTTATTACGTCATATAGTCCACAAGAAAAAAAAATAGTCAACAAGAAGAGTTTTTTCCTAAATGGTTGAAAATTTGACACTTAACCTGTATCGTCTTCACGAAGGTCGACAGTTGACACCTAAACTCTAATCCCTCAAAATAAAGGTCGACAGGTCGACACCACATTGCTAAATCTTATCTATCACAACAAAGGTCGACAGGCCGACAGTTGACACCAAATTGGGACACTATCTTCGCTTAATACAAAAGTGAACAGTTGATACCCGTTCGGTTTCCTTTATAACTCAAAACAAAAGTTGACAGGTCGAAAGTTGACCACCTCTCGGTATTCTTTTTACCCTCATAACATCCTCTCGAACTAATAAGCTTTGTCTTGCTGCGAACAAACACAATACATTATGGTAAGTCTTGTAAAACCACTCGATTGATCGATCCCACCCGAGTTTAGGGTTAATCCTCGAACACACCTGATGGATAAGGGTTAATTCTCGAAATCTCCCGAGATTATAGGGTTAGTCCTCGTGTCAATCGGAAAGATTAGGGTTCTTCCTCGAACCCAACGGAAAGATTTAGGGTTAGTGCTCAAACCAACTGGAGATTATAATCCGTCGACCTGTCAACCTGTCGACCCGTCCACTCGTCTACTCGTCGACTCTTCTTGAATACATGTAGGTCTGTCAAGCAAACAATCTGTCAACCTGTCAACCCGTCGATTCGTCAACCTGTCGACCTGGCAACCCGTTGACTCGTCTACCCGTCGACTCTTCTTGAATACATGTAGACCTGTCAAGCAAACAATCTGTCAACCTGTCAACCCGTCGACCTATCAACCTGTCGATTCGTCTACCTGTCAACCAGTCGACTCGTCGACCTGTCAACCTGTCGACTCGTCTACCTGTCGACCTGTCAACCAAACAATCTTTTCATCCTGTCGACCTGTCAACCTGTCCACCTGTATACATGTCCACAATCTTTCGGTACATAAAATTTTTCCAAATTTCCTCATATTCTTTGCACATTAATTCTTCAACCATGAAAATATTTACCGGCACTACCTATCCATATATCCTAGTTGAGCCACCATTGTTACATTTGAAATAAAAATCCAAATAGCTTCAATATATTCTGATATTGAGTACATAGACTATTTTCCCCCGTTGACTATACTGTAATAATATTTTTAAGACTTTTGACTTAATAGATAAACTTTGCTTATAATAATATTTGATGCTACCAATGTAACTATATATAAAAAATACTTCTGAGTATAAAATTGTTATCCATATTGTTCAGTAATATTTTCATAGATTCAAATAAATAATTTTAAGACCGAACCTTTGTTTAACACATTTAAAGAGACAAAGTGACACAAAAACGGAATAATTAAAATTATTGATTTAAAGGATTTTTGCACTGGCTCACACAAATTTTCGTTCAATTCTTGGAAGTATTAGGTTTCATGCAATTGCAGGGTTCAGAATCAAAGAAAAATCAACTTTAAAGGCAAAAAATTATTGTTTTAAATTGTAAATAATATATATATTGTATTATGAACGTATTTATTTTCAGATTTGATTGGTTTTAGAGAAATGATGACATTCCTGGATTTATTCCCCCTCAACTTATCCTTAAACCCATTGGAACATGACTGTTCGGTAACAAATCTTGAAAATATGTAGTCTTTTACATGTATTCCTGAGCTTGAGACTCAAAAGCTTGGCCAAATCTAACATATAAGACCATCTGATTTGACATTATTCAAATCATGAAGTCTGTATATTTTTTAAATGCAAATGATGGTACTGAAAACAGACGTCATTTGCATAAGATATGAAGAGCAATGCTTTGATTTAAAAAACAAACTTGTTCTGGAACACTGATATATTCATATGGTAAATATTGCCTGCTTATATTTGAAAGACAATTGTACAAATCAACGAATTTTTGTTTAGTGAAATATGAAGACAACGAACAGTAATCAAGCTATAAAGTCCATTAGAACAATGCAAATTGGGCGAAGAGCAAACACTGACCTCTAAAAACATCAGAGGTGAGATTAAGTGCCAAGGAGGAGTTAGCATCCCCTGTCGACCGGCCACGCCCACCGTGTGCTTCTTGATCAAGCATACTTAAAAATCCGTAGACAGTTCAATGTGAAAATAATTTGCTAAATCATATAATTTGTATGAAAAACGTTAATCAACACTAGACGTAATGATAGGTTGTATGTGCTAACTACATAATTTTATCGACCATAGATTTTTTTGCGAAATGTTGACTTTAAACGGGACTGTTGATATCCTTGTATCATCAATTTGTTTGTCAATAGCTTGATTTATTTTAGAAATTGTTCTTACGCAGAGTATGCTCGTTCGTTTCGAATCAACTCGGAGAAATAAACTCCATATGCAGGTGATAATGGTTTATTGCTACATTAACAACGATAAATTGCATGACGATGGAAAAAGTTGACGCGTCACGTGTATCATAAAGTTTTGTTGTTAGGTTGCTATTTCGAGTTCAAAGTTTAAAATGAAAAAAAAGAGCTCTCGTTAAATTGATTTATTTTTGTAAATTGTATGCCATGGAAAAGTGCATTAGTAGCCCAGTATATACATGGTTTACATGTATCTATCGATATTCTCCAATAGTATAAATATTGAGATATAAAAATCAGGGGATAAAAATCAGATAGATATTAAAAGCAATTTTAATGCGATTTATTTGGCTTCACAATAGGATTTCTATGTTAATACCCTTTGATCTTCACATGAAATGGATAAAATATTTAAAACAACGTTCAATCACTTTTTATTAAATAAATATAACCTTTCATTACCTATGATTGGCAATTCTTTATAAAGATTAATATCAAATTTGAGACGAGATTCCAATTAACAGAATTAAAGATATATGTAATATATATATATATATATATATATATATATATATATATATATATATATATATATATATATATATATATATATATATATATATATATATATATATATATATATATATATATATATATATATATATATAAAGCACTAAAAACCAACAACACTGCATATCCTAATTGTCGGATCTACTAAGTAGATACAAGGTCACGGATGGAAATTTATATAAAGCACTAAAAATGACCAACGACACGAACAATTATAATTGTCAAATTTTCGGGACAACCTGTCCCTTCCTCAGGACAAAGAAAAAAGTTAAGAAGTCATAAAAACAAAGGAAATAGAGAAGCAAAAACAACTAGCACTACTACTAAACTACCGAACACTAAATATTTACAATGTTACATGTTTAATTTGGAGTTTATTAACAGTTGTGAACAAAGAAATCCGGAGCGCTATGAATTGCGTCCGGTCTATCGGGTGTAGTCTGGTGAAGTGTGATTTACATAATTGAACGAATTAATTATCGCTAATTAATTACGGCCAACAGTAAATCGTACATTGTCTTATTCTCTCAAAATAGCGTAACTCTACATGATAAAAAGAAATTTAAGAAAGATAATATGGAATGACAATTTTGAAATATGAATTTGGATATATTATAAATTTGGAAATCGGAAAAAAGAAATAAACAGAAATGTGAGCTGTAAATATTTGGGTAGATTGTTCCAGAATTACTAATACGAATTAACGGTAATACCGCTGAGGTTCTTAAGGACGGTACCATCCCGTCCTTAAGAACCTCAGCGGTATCCTTCAAAAGAATCTGCCAATTCTCCACTCAAATAAACGAATGGCAGAGGTCTTTAAGGAGCCCCCATTGGCTGCATACAGACGCCCGAGGAACCTGAAGGACATGGTAGTAAGAACCAGATTGGACAATCCATTACCTAACGGGGGCTTTAAAACTTGCTCTGACAGAAGATGTCTTCTCTGTAAGTACAGCTCTGACACAGACAGTTTTAACAGCCCCGTTACAGGCCGCAGCTACAAAATACTAGGGAATTTGTCCTGTCAAACAGACAACTGCATTTATCTCATCAGTTGCAAAGTTTGCTCCAAACAGTATGTTGGTGAAACAGGAGATCTCCGCAGGAGAGTCAATAATCACCGTTCTACCATTAGGACCAAAAAACTCAATGAACCCGTTGGGGAACATTTCAACCTTGAAGGTCACAAATGGGAGGACATGACAGTAGTGGTTATTGACCATAATCCAAGATGGACAGACGCGCAGAGAAAAGGCAAGGAAAAGTTCTGGATGCACAGGCTGAAGTCATTCCGCCCTAATGGTATTAACAAACTTAATGACTTCACCAGGATGAACGTGAACTAGACCCAATCTCGGATTGTAACAAACAAGTTCATTCTCTCTATATAGTGTAATTCGTATTAGTAATTCTGGAACAATCTACCCAAATATTTACAGCTCACATTTCTGTTTATTTCTTTTTTCCGATTTCCAAATTTATAATATATCCAAATTCATATTTCAAAATTGTCATTCCATATTATCTTTCTTAAACTTCTTTTTATCATGTAGAGTTACGCTATTTTGAGAGAATAAGACAATGTACGATTTACTGTTGGCCGTAATTAATTAGCGATAATTAATTCGTTCAATTATGTAAATCACACTTCACCAGACTACACCCGATAGACCGGACGCAATTCATAGCGCTCCGGATTTCTTTGTTCACAACTGTTAATAAACTCCAAATTAAACATGTAACATTGTAAATATTTAGTGTTTGGTAGTTTAGTAGTAGTGCTAGTTGTTTTTGCTTCTCTATTTCCTTTGTTTTTATGACTTCTTAACTTTTTTCTTTGTCCTGAGGAAGGGACAGGTTGTCCCGAAAATTTGACAATTATAATTGTTCGTGTCGTTGGTCATTTTTAGTGCTTTATATATATATATATATATATATATATATATATATATATATATATATATATATATATATATATATATATATATATATATATATATATAGCTCGAGGAGGGGTGGTGGTGAAATGTCCGAAAATATTGTATAAAACTTCGACATAAGGGTACCTGTGATGTGATGGACACGGCAAAGATGAGATATTACTATGTTATGATACATAAATAGCATAGTCCTGAAGTTCAGTCTTTACAAATTTACAAATTAATAATTCAAAGTCAAAGTTTCAAGGGTAGAGTGTTTGTATCATCAATGTCAATGTTAAAAGTATTTTCTTATAATCGTCATTCATATGTAAAACATGAGTTTCACTACAATTATATTAAAATACATAAATTAATACCAACTTTTTTTCAAAAGTATAATAACAGTAAATGCTAGCAATGTATCTTAATGATTAAAAAACATTCATTAACAATGTCGTTTACAGATAGAAGTACCGTGCATTAATAATAAATTTGTTACAGATAAATCATTGGTGGTATTTAATATAGTGTATTTTGATAAAATATGCCTTAGAAATAATTTTAATGGCGACACGGTATTTCTCCTTAGTAAATACTTTTATTGAGAAATACATAGTATATGAGGATATTTTTTTTAAATATTGAATGTACAAACAGTCTGAAAATGACATAAAGTTTAACTAATGTGAGAAAAATAATTTCAATGAGTACTCGACTTATGATTTTTTGATTAGGCTATCCCGGTGAAATTCACATCACCACTTTAGACTAATTTCCACATTAGTGTTATTTTCAATCGTCTGTTAACAACATGGGCAAAATAATGTTTAAAAGTTTTAAAGGGATATTTGTGAATTACTCAATCTTTATTTTTTATTCATTGTGAATATATGAATGAAGGCAATCAAAGAGGTATGACTCCCCTACCAGTAAAACTGGAGGGGAGTATAGTTTTCGACTTTGTTTGTCCGTTTTGCAGCCTGTCTTTCTATCAGTCAGACTGTCCTATTTGGTTATTACACGATGGCATATACTAGTATTCAGCCAATTTTTGATATATAAGTTTAGTATTCCATTCTCCTTCAGCATTATTTATGAAATACTCTCAAAATGTTTTTTTTGTGATTTTAGAAGCTCTTTATTACTTACCCGAGCGGCTATTCCCTCTATCCAGTATAAAATACTTAACAATGTCATCTTCTCCTTCCTCCACGCTGTATATGACTTGAAAAAGCTTACAAGACTTATTGGTATAATTGTACAGTAAAGACACACAGTTACTGTTTTGTAGACACTGAAAACCACACCATGTCAAAGGGTAATTAGATCCAGACCAAATTGCTAATGCAGGTTCAATGAGGTCAAGTCTCATTCTTACCTGTCGTAAGGAAATTTCACCTAAAATCAAAGATATGAATTTGTAAATTATTAATTTCTTATACTGAGGCATTAATCTTAAAAATACTTATTAAGTAATCTATTGATGTACGTTCCAATAAATTTTTGGGTTGTGGAAAAGTAGTTCTATGAATATATCTATACGCACTCACTTGCTTTCAAGACTTTTAATATCCCAAGAATAACGTAAAACACTACTTTCAAATTTAGTTTATGCATTTCCTTTCCTGTCTTTTTTTTTCATATAAACTACCTCGATAAAAATGTTCGGGTTATATCGATACTTTAGATAGCATAAATATGAACAAATCTGGTCTTCCTTTCTTTTTTTTTCTATACATTGCCTGGATCGAAATTTTTACATTATACATATATCGATACTTTAGAAAGCAAAAGTCAATAATGGGCTCTCAATAATAATAATGTAAAGGCAATTATATTTGTTATTCTTTTCATTTTTGTTTTATCTTCAAAGCGCAAATATTGTCTTTAGTACGGTGCAGAAAGGACAGTTCCCAGTAAATGGAACAATGTACTTACAAGTAGATGTATCTATTTGCCGTATAAGCGATAACAGTATATTGCTAATGTAACATTTTTGTTATGAGACTTATCAGTAGAAAATTCTTTATTTTCTTAATTATTATTAGTATTATGTTCCAGAAATAATTCATGATGTGAATGTATGTTGACTGTGGTGATTTTATTCACAAGTATAACCGCTCATCGAGCTTCTAATATATACTTATTAATGATTTTTGCTACATGCATTCTTTATTAAATAAAATATCCTCATTTATTTCTCTATGTTTCTCTATTTTTTTTTTATAATTTTCATTGATTTATATACTGTAGAATCATCATTGTTCGTGGGGGACCAATGTTCGTGGATTTCGTGGGTCACCCTTACCCACGAATTTACATCCCCACGAACGTTTATTCTGTAAACATATTGATTCATTGAATCTACCGTATAAACGAGTAACCCACGAAATTACGTCCCCACGAACAAGTAAAATTTTGCTTGCCCACGAACATTGACCCCCACGAATTAAAATGATTCCACAGTATTTACTAAGCATTATTCTTTGATGAAAACAAGTTTTAACGCCAATTCTTAGAGACGTTGGTAGAGGGAAGTAAAACTGATTTGTCACTTTAAAATTAGATATTATATAAGTTTTGTTTTTACAGGTAAAGGAAATTTAATTCCAATATATTCATATATATATATATATATATATATATATATATATATATATATATATATATATATATATATATATATATATATATATATATATATATATATATATATATATTCCTTTAGGTTTATCATTTATTTCCTTGTGTACACGTTTAAGTAGAGCTAAAAGAAAATAAATGATGGTCAAGAGATTTTTAAAGGGGTAACGAAGATTTTTTTTCAAAAGATTTAACGATCTATTTTTTCATGCATGTATAAATCCCCTGGATAAAAATATTTGGATTATCATTATTTTAGCTAATGGGTTTTGACTGGTTTTAAAATATAAATGGAACGGCATTGTATTTGATATTCACTTCACTATCTTTACCTTAAAATGCAAATATTTGATAACAATCCCTCTAAATATTTATCTATGATACAGTGCAGAAAGGACGGTTCCCTGTGAATGAAGCATTTAATAGATGCAAATTTATACATTACTAGTATAACATATATCATTATCTCGTTTATGTAATTTTCCTATGAAATTTTTTAGTACGAAATGATATAATTTTTATATTGTTTTATGAATATCAATTAATGTTGATTGTTGCAATTTTTTAATGCAGATCAAACTCCAAGAAATTGAAGTAAAAAACTGGAAAGAGCACATGTTAAAATGTTAAAGCCATGTCTTTAAAGGTACAAAAGCTACAATCTAGGTTAAAATATCTGAAAAGTAGATAAAACTTTAATAGATCAAGGTCAAAAACAGTAAAGTATATCCAGAGAGATCTTTTCACAGTTATTGCACACAAGAAATATGAAAGCCATATCCTCTCGCATTCAAAAGTTACATGTATTACATAACCTTAGGAACGGGGGGGGGGGGAGGGGGACACGGGGGGCCATGCCTTCCCCCAATAATTTTGCTGACATATAGCATACTATAATAAACATAACTACTTAATGCTTGTGTCCCCTCAATATTAATCTAAGGCCCTTTTTTAAAATTTTTTTTTGCTTGTTAAGGGAATTTTGGTGGTTGATAGTGCCCCCCTCCAAACTGAAAATATATGGTTGTGCCCCCTCAAAGTGAAATTGCTTCCTACGGGCCTGCATTACAAAAGTTGAAATTGGAAAGAGTCATATTTTGACGTCAGGGTCATTTTCTCTCATTCAAAAGTTATGACTAAGATTAAAGGTTTTGTGACAGACAGACAGACCGACGGACGGAGAGACAGGCGATGAAATTAAATTTCCATGAGCTTTCGCGAAAGCGGGGGACAAATACAATGTACATCTAACGTTGAGGCTGAATATTTTTTATTATTAATTCTTGCTATAAATATTCTGAATAACATAAGGAAGTTATCCTCAACTATTTCTCTATATTTTGTTATTTTCATAGCTTTGTATTTTTTTTCTAAACCATTCCCTGCTGCAGGCCACAACTTAGGCAACGCTGCTACAGGAAAGTGACATGGAGGATCACTTTTTAAGGTGTTGAATAAGTCATATGATGAAATTAGATCAGTCTTTGAGACTGAAACCCATACTCAGATTGCATGAACAGAATGTTGCCATTTTAAAATAATGACAATGTAGTACAGCTAAAAGAAAAAAAGTTTGGGTTTTTTAAATATTTTTATAGGGGTGTAAATGCATGTTTCTTATTCTAAAAGATTCATTTTGCTATGTTGTTGTATAGAATCTAATATCAAGGATTATGTTGTATAGATTCTATTATGAAGGATTATATATCGAGTTAATGGCAATGAACCTTTATGGATTTATATATCATATGGCAAACTTACAGCTATAAACTTTATGATAAAAGTGATTGCTTCAACTTGTCTATCGCCAACTTCCCTAATTTATGTAGCAATATTCCATTATCACCAGCAAATGTGATTTATATCTCCAAGCTGATTCGATACTCATTAGAATATTGTGCGTACGAACAATTTCTAAAACGAGGCGGGCTACTGATAAAAATGTTGATGATACAAGAAATCAACAATCTCGTTTAAAGGCAACATTCAGCAAATTCCATGATCGATGAATTGAAATTTGCAAATACAGTCTTTTGTTAGGTCGAATGTTGACTGATGTGTTTCATATAAATTGTTAGGCCAATTTTCATACGGAATTGCTGACGGATTTCTCCGTTAATCCAATCATGTCGAGAAGCACATGGCGGGTGTGACTGGTCAACAGGGAATGCTTACTCCTCCATGGCACCTGTGCCCACCTCTGTTTTCAGAAGTAAATGTTTGCTCTGCTCACAATTAGTATAAGTAATACCAGGAAAAATTAAATAACCGGACAAGTATGTGTTTTACTTTTCTACCTAACTTTCTTTACTTTTAATTTTACCCTTGCATTGATCGTTGGTATTTGCGACAAATTCAACACAACTATTGCACAAATTTCAGCATTTATGGAGATTTGTTTTTCTAAGGTTAATGAAAGGTCACAATGAACCTTTTTCAGTGCATGGGGGATCCAATTAGGGAAATAAAATATTTTTCTCTTTTTTCCTTAAAGTTATGAAATATTAATGCTATATTTAATTGTTGATAAATGCTATACTAAAACACCTGATGAATACTTGCAATTAATTTATATTTTCAATCCTCTTGATTCATTGAACTGTAAATAATATTTCGGTTTAGAATACAATGTTACTTTCTTTCGATGACACAATAGCTCTGTTTTTGTGCCACTATAAACTTTCGAAAAATAATTGTCCACCACATTTTGTGCATATATGAGAAATAAAATTACATGTACATCAACGCAAAACAAAAACAAAATAGAAAAGCTTAGCTAATTCCTAGGAAAATTAGTGTTTTTAGAGAGAAGGAATTCTCTGTTGCTTAAAGTAATCATAATACTAATCATGCAGGGTAGACTGAAGAATTTGTTGTTTTGATTTTTTTTCTGTGTATTTCTTTGAATAACATCAAGATTATAAAGGATAACAAAAACTCTCAGAATATGTCAGCATATTATATATAATCTGAAACTCACTAAAAGAGTTCATTACATGTATAATATATTCTACACTGTGTTACCTAACAGACAATAGGATCTCTGCGAGTTGTGCATAACCATTAGAATATTTGGGTTGATAATTATTAATCGAAACAAGACGTTCACATTTTGTGACATTCACAAACATGTTTTCATTCTGTAAAAAGATAAGAACAATTTTTAATTTATTGCTTTATTTTATCAGCAATGATATCATATAAAATATTTAGGGAAATGAGGTAGGTCCAGCTACAGAGAAAATAGAAACACACATAAATTTACATTATGCTTGAATACTGAAAACGTTTAAAAGAAGTATTACCGTTGAAACGTTGACAACGGAGAACTGAACCATTAAAAAATAATAATATAAATAAGAAAAATGTTCATTTCAAATTTATTTTACCTCTACAAATTCATAGGTACAAGTTTAACAAGAAAGAGCTAAAATATTTGCATGTATCGTGTGAATAACGTGATATATATAGAGCAGTGAAGTTATTATTATTTAGTTTTTGATTCACCATTCTAACTATTGTCTCCTGTATTTTCACACCTACTGTGTCTTCAAAGATGGAATTATAGCTCAATTATGACAGATCAAGGCTTGTGCATCCGCAGCTGATACTGAAATAAATGAGATTAAAATTAAACATAAACATCTATTGCTTTTATTAACTAGGTAAAAAAGAACTCATATCAAGTAGCCACATATTAGTTCTCCAGTATTTTACTTTAACAACTTGATCTTATGAATAATCATCCAGATTGAAGCTAATATTTAATACGCTTAAAATGTTCATTATGATTTGTCTTTAAGAGTAGATAAAAAAACAGTTTACTGAATTCGTTTGACACTTGAAATATAATGGGTCCCGATGCTGGTCCACATCTTGCACACCATCCTGCACAGGTGAAGGATATCTCAGAATCATCTGTTGATTTTTGAAAATTTCTCATTTCCAGATAATGGCCCTTGACTACTCCCCAC